GTTATTATTACTACTCTTATATTTATTTTAAAAAATATTTATAAACTTTATTACGGGGCTATTATTAAGCGCTCGTAATAACGGTATAAAATATAATAATATCTTAATTATTATTTATTATATAATAAAGTTCGTGAAGTTCCTACCTATTATTAAAATACTTAACGTAATATAAATAGTAAGTATCCTATATTAAGAAGTTAAATATAAATTTAGTACGCTAAAAAGTATTATTATAAATAAAAATAAGCTTTTTATAAGCATATTTTAAAAAGAGTTTATTAAGGAATAGGTAATACGTCGCTAACTATTTACTATATATTACTTATAAATAGATAGCTAAATAGAGCGGACTTATTAAATATTAAAAAAGTATTTAAAAATCTATACTAAGGGCTTATTAAATAGGTAGGTAGCGTAGTTAAAAGAGGCCGAGTTTATATATAATAATAACTAATACTCTATTATAAAAGTATTCTTATATATAGTACTATACGGCTACTACCCTAAGTATATTAAATATATACTTAATTATAAAACTATAGTTTAGGGGGTTCGAAAAAGGGTTTAGAAAATTAAAAGAAATTAGGGCCTAGGCTATACGAGCGTAAGTATAAGCTTTTAAAAACTAAGTAGCTTATTATAATAAAAAATATACCCTAAAGGAGTTTAATTATAAAGAGGTCGTCGGCTTATTAATAAAGAATATATAATTTAAAAATAATAAACTAGCGCCGAGATATATTAAAATAATAATAGCTAAAAGGGTAAGAAAATAGGCTTATTAAGTATATTTACCGGAGTAGTATTAGAAAATATATAATATTTTCTTAGTTTCCTAACTTAAGCTATAAAGAAATTGCTAAATAATTAGTAATTAGATAGTAAATTTCTTAGAGTTAGAAAATGAGTAAGATGTTTAAAAAGTTAAAAAAATCGTTATAATATAAAATAAAAAAGGAAACTTACGATATCTCGTTAAATAAGCTAAGTAGCTTATTAAGTATAATATATAAAAGCCTATTAAGTATTTTAAAAAAATAATAAAAATAGTTAAAAAGTTCGAACGTTATAAAAAAAGGGTATATATAAAATAGGATAATAAACGTTAAGTTCGTAATAAAAAGTTACTAAAAATAAGTTAATTAATAATACTTTATAAAACCCTTTTTATCTAGCCTAGCGCAATTCTTAAAAAAAAAATATAATATTATAACTTTTAGTAATATGTTATTAAAAGATTAATAAAATTTAGCTATATAAGGGGAGCAACTTATATAATACTAATAGTAATAATAGCGGCTCTAATATATACTTCTAAAGCTTAATAATTAATAATAATAATCCGCTTAGTAAATAAAAAGTAAAAAGGCTTTATATATATACTTAGCTAACTACTTAGAATAAAGCTATTAACCTTATTAATATTATAATAAGTAAAAGGGAGGTAGTTAAAGTTATATAGAGTATTATATATATTAATAATAGCGGTTCGTAGAGCGTTTACTATTTAATTATTATTAAAAACTATAATAAGAAGTATAATAGGAGCTATAATAAGAAGTATAACGAGAGCTATAATAAGAGGTATAATAAGAGCTATAATAAGAGGTAAAATAAAAAATAAAATAGGGGGTATAATATTATTATTGTTAATAATAGGTCGGGGACGGGGGACGTTATTTAAAATAACGCTCTCGTAATCCTAATTAAGCTAAGGGACCTTAGTAATATTAATATTTATAAAAAATATATTAATATCGAATTACTTATTACGACTTATAGTTTTAATTTTAATATAAATAATAGCCTTATTAAGCTGTTATAAAGCTTTTATTTAGAGCGAGAGGAGCGTAATACTAACCTTATTAAGATTTAAAATAATATAACTAAGGGCTAAGGTACCCTTATTTATATTAAAAAGAGCGTTATAAGTAGGGGTTAGTAAGTTATTAATATTAAAATAGTAGCGCTTATTACGATATTAAAAAAAAGAATTTTTTAAGTTATTATTAAGCTCCTTAAATTTAGTATCCTCGTACTAGGACTTATTAAACTTAAACCTAAAGTCGTCCTATTTATTATTATTATTAAAAATATAGTTAATAATAAGAGTACGCTTTTTAATAAGAGTCCGAGTCTTAGGACTATAAAAAATAAGGGTAGCGCTATATATAATAATAATATAAATAAGTACTTTATTTACTAAGAACTTAGTAATACGTTTATAAAAAATAAAAAAAGTAAAAAACTCTTAAATACGTATAATAATAACGCCCTTAAGAATCTTTTTATAGTACTAAGTTAGAGCATCGAGGTTATTTCGTAAAACGGTTATATAGTTATTATTATAAAAATAAGCTAGCTAAAAGCGATTAAAATAAAAAATAATCTTAGTCTTATTATTAATATTAAAAATACTAGTTTAAAAAAAGAAATCTAAGTTAATAAGAAGAAAATTTACTAAACGATTATTAATAACTTATTATAATCGAGATTAATAAGTTTAAATACTCGTAATTAATAATAAGTTCTTAAAAAGTAGCCTATTTAAAATAGACCTTTTTTACCTTATTATTTATTAATAAGTTAGTAATATAAGTAGCGACTTTTTTTTACGTACTAATAGTATAGTTAAAAGTATAGAGAACGTAGCTACGTTTATAAGAGTTAAGGCTACTTTATTCCTTAATATTATAAAACTTTATAAGAGTATTTTAAATAAACTAAGCGGCGCTATATAGTTCCTTAGGAACTTAAGAAATATCATTAGCTAATATTTTAATAATAAATTAGTAAGGACTTAATAACTTATAATAAAATACTTCTTTTTATTAATTTAATAAATAATATACTTAGTAATATAAGCGCCGGTAATATAAACGAGCTCGTTAATATTATAATATATACTAACTAAGTAATATATATAAAGAGTACCGCTATAGAAACTATAGAAGCCTTTTTTAAAATTATACTTTATATTAAGTATATTTTAAATACGCAAAATAGTAAATATTTTAATAAATACTTAGTAATAGTATAGTAAAAGAGTTATAATTAAAAAACGATATAGAATTAAAATATTATAAAAAGAAAAGTATAGTTATATAAAAAAGAATTTGTAAAGCGTTTACTAAATAAAAAGGGGGAAAAAAAAGTAAATACGTAACTAGTAATAAAAGAAAAATCTTTTACTATACTTAATAACTTAGTAATAATAATAATTACGAGGCTAAGCGGGCTCTTATATATTATAATAATTAAAATACTTTACTATAAATATATATTACTAACTTAGTAACTAGTCAGCGCGCTATTACTAAATAATAATAATAAAATATCCGTTAGATAAAGAGATAGGAGTAATACCTTATTCCTAAATAAAAAAAGATATTATTAACGCCTTACGGAATTTATTATAAATAACGACGTTAATAGTTTTATTATTAGTATTAAAAAAAATATTATATAATAATTTTAAAGACTAAAGTTACGTAAGGGGGGAGTAATTATAATAAATTTAGGATACGGCTAATAATAAGATACTAATAACTTAATAATTAGTATATAGTTCGTATTATAAAAAAACTTTTTAAGAAATAGAGCTCTTATAAAGGACTCTATAAGCTTTAGTTTTATAATATACTTATACTTATATTATAGCCTCGCTAGTTAAGTACTCATAGCCTAATCTCTTATAGAGGGTAGGGTAGCGTCTATATATACTACGGCAATCCTCTAGTAATACAAAACGATAGAGTTAAACAGTGAACGAACGCGTCTCAGCTTAGAGGCTCAACTACTTGCTTTCAAGTCGGAAGCAAAATCGTTATCCCACATCCTACCCTAAGCCGCCAGCGGTACCGGCCTAGTTTCTTACCAAGAACCCCTGAATAAGGGCTAGGCCGTGTTCACGGACAACCTGGACCTGGCCTCATAACGGGCCGCACGACTTGCGCCTGTTCATGATCATCCCCAAGACACAGAATGATCCGAACAGAGAAGCTCGCTTCTACCCATGCTCTCCAAGGTGCCTTACTTTGACACATCGAGCTTTGGGCTTCAACCGACTGATATCTGCTACAGCCTGAGCAAGAGCCCTGACCCTGGCTACTTCACCTGCCTTTCATCTTGCCCTTGTACAGCTGGATTCTCCACGAACTGCTGTCAAGACCTTCCATTCTGTGCCCTCGAACCCACCCGCAACGGACGCCCGCAGCTACCCCCGGTTCCCGCCATCTTAGCAGTTGCAACGACAATGGACAACGCAGACCCTGGCGCATCTATTCTAGGCATAACTGTACCACCTGCTGCATGCCGCAGGGAACCGCCATCAAACCTGCAAGGGCAGGCTTCTTACGAACCGGTCAAAGCATACAGCAAACGGCATACAGTATGCAGCCCCTAGATGAACGAGGCTGCAGTCTTGACTACGCCTTGTCAACGCCTTCGTTGTCATCAACCAGCCGGAGTTCGAAATGCATCGAACGATATCAATCACACTCCGTCACACGGCATGAACGAGCCAGATGGGCTCTCGCATTGGCATCGGGCAGGAATCAGCAGCCAAGCGGCTTTTCCCACGACACGGACACCAGATTCTGCCACCATCCGTCTGCATTGTTAGTTTTGGCCTCGGCCCCGTGCTTGAACCGCGCTGTCTTTCGAGATGTCTGGTAATTGAGGCAGACCGCGTACTGTCAGAAGGATTTTGGCTCCTGATGTGGTGGTGAGACCGATTTTCCCGGCCCAACCAATTCGAATTTGGCCTCGTCCAATCACGCTCTTGGGTGGCCTTCCTTGCGGCTGCAACAGAAACGCGTCTGTCCTAGGCGACCAACGTCAAGCGCATCCTGGTCACATCGAAATACTTCGTTTGTCTCAACGTCGTCTGTTCCCGTTTGGTGTCCCATTCATTGGCAGATTGCCTTCTTTCCCGGTGCCCCTCAATCGAGCATCGACGTAGCAGGGCCAGCAGACAAGGAATCCCGTGGAAGTCCATGTCGGAATCATTGCTGGTCCTGGAACGCAATGCAGCTGATCACAGCTTCTCCACCAAAGTAGGCTTTCAGCTTGTCTACACGTTCGTACCCTACCGTCTCGTGGCAACCACGAGTAGCGTGCTGACGTGCGTTTCTTCTGCCCGTCATTGGCCTTTATTTGTCGTCTCTTTTCACCAGATGCACCCAATCACGTAGCAAATAACGGTGCATCGTTTCTTCAGCGCATGATTCGCAAAATCCCAAGAGTTCGGGTGGCCTGCAGGCGTCTCCTGGAAGCCCGGGATAATCATTGGCCTTAATGCTTCGTGTTTCTTTAGCTTCGTCCTGTCAAAATCAAGGTCTAGAGGTGTTCCTTGGTTGCAACACCCCAACAGCTCATGATAGGTAGACGGTTTAAAGCACTCTTAGTGGAGTTTTTCCAGTGCTACCTCGCTTCGTGTAGAGAGCTTTTCCACCGTCAGAACATCCGAGGTGAGGACGTGCTCAACATCCTTCCTACGGCAAACGGGCCGTCCCGTTTGCCCATCAGCTCCCACTCAAGGTTACGGTTCACGACGTGCCCGCGCGAGAGCGACAACCTCACCGACAGTCGTCTCGGCGCCGAACACGGGTCACCCGGCCTCGAGAATGGACTGGCCGCATCTCTGGCCTCCCCTCTTTACAGCCACCCTCCTCCCCCTGACAAAGTATGATGCCCTCGCCGGCGGCAGTCGTGACCAGGTCAGTCTCGAGTGGCGCGGCTGGTCGTTCAGCTATTGTTCCCAGTCAAACAACGGCCGTGTCTATGTAATGGTGGCATTCTCCGCTGTAGTCTTTCGAGCCTTTTGATGTACACGAACGCAAGCCTTTCCATAAACGGTCTTCTAGTTGACAGCGCATCGCCGTCTTTCACAAGGGACTCCCTACTTGTGAACCTTGAACAGTTGCAGGAGGTGTGTCAATGTCGGGAGAGGTGTTCGTGGCCCCGCTCGACCACTCAACTTTCATCTGTCATGTGTGCCAAGCCAAGTGCGAGGAGGCTCGATCAAGCTCGGTGATTTTCCCCCAACCTGCACAGAGCACCGGAGCCTCGTTTTGATTGTTGCAGCTCGAGTAGATTGGACAAACCACTGCAAGCGCGGTTCTTTTCTAGCCTAGATCCAATCATAGGAAGCCCGTGTCAGTTGCTGACAACGCTCGCGAGCAAGTCATCGAGTAGGTCAAGGGACAGACTCGGTTGAAGGAATAGGCGGTGCCGTTTATTCCAATGAGAGTCAACACTGATTAATCGTTACCTGCGGACTGTAACAAGAGCTACATCTGGTGAATGAGGTGTCACCGGGGAACTTCGTCCGGTGGACTCGGCAAGCCACACGTCACCCACTAAGGTGAAATAGGTGAAGGGGCGGACTGGAGCCGTGATGCTGCATCTTTGATCGGCAACCGACGCACATTGCCAGCCCAAACTAGAAGAGGGAGTGAGTACAATGCCTCTCATCAGGAGATACCTTTAACGTAGCTTGGGTCTAGGCACATGCACCTTCGTTGGGGCTCTGATGCAGATCGAACGCAATGCAGTGTGGAACATCGGCCATGGCCAGCAGCCGGCCGCCACGTTGTCCTGCCCAGGGCCCTAACCAACGCCCGAAGGCCTTCGTGAGGACCGTTCTCAACTTGCTCGTCGCAAGGTCCGCCGTAATCCAAGGGCATCTAGTCGACGAAGCAAACGGGCCGTCCGTATTCGGACAAGCCAGATAGTTCATGTGAGGGGATGGGTCTGCGGACTTTCTCAATCTCTTCGACGGTACACCTAGACGGTTATTAGCCCGCATGGCCGGTGTGAGCTGGTTTAGCCCACCACTGGGGGGTAGCATAAGACCTACATCATAAGGCGAGACATAATCAACCACCCCCCCCCCCCCTTCCCCCTCCATAGAAGCAGACCATACAAGACAGGGGTGGATGAGACGACCGATTATTCGTCAATGACCAGGTCGATGGACTCAGGAAACGGGCATCCGGCTCAGAGAGGTCTGGCCCTGAGTGACAAGGCTTTCTTCCTGACATGTTGAGATCGATGTCGCCTGCATGTTGAGCTGGCCTTGTCCGGGGTTTCTTTGCCTGTCCCTGCCCGAGTGGCTGCAAGGGTCCCTGAGGTTGCAATGACAGTTCTCCTGCCTTAATCATCGTGTCTCGTCTGGGGTTTTCAAGTGTACTTATTAGCGTTCTCGGGCGTGTTTAGGCTCAAGTAGACCGGCGGCGACGGAAGTAGGGGATAGGAAGGTGGCGATGAAAATGTCAACCTTGCATCCATGTCACCTCGATGACGTTCCATTATGTGCGGCAGGCAATGCCCAGGTGGTCTCACGGAGCGGCCCTCGGTCAACCAACCCTGGCGCCGTGGAAAAGCCCTTGCCTTCCGACCTTAGACACGGCCTTCACCATAATTCTCTATCCATATGCCAGTAGTGTGGGGGAGCCAATAGTTTCCAAAGTAATGCCGCAGAAAATAGACAACGGCTCGATGGTTCATGCCGGCTACCATCCATCCTCCCCTCCTTTGCCAAGGCCCCTCCAGGGGAAATGGCCAAATATCCCTACCCTCCACGTCAAGCTGACAATTATCTCTTGCTGGCGGGACGAACCATGGCCCGTGTGCAAGGAAACAAGAAACAAAACCGCAATAAGGGATTGAGCACGTATGAAATAGAGAACCCCACAGCGGCCGCAAGCAGAGCGGGCAGAAGACAGCCTTACCTTGAGCGGGAGGCTAGATACCACCCCGTCGCTCTAATACTTGCAGGTCGCAGCCCGTAGCGGGAACACCCACTTCAAAGAACCCCCAAGGGTGCTGTTCAAGGTTTTACCTGGGAGATGAAATCTGCAAGTCTTCTGCAACATCATATCCGTCCACATACATACAAGAAAAGCTCGTTGAAAGTGGAGAAATCCCGCCTTATGTTTGTGACTGTCACAGCCAAGGGGCCAGGGAAGAACACCAACTGGGTATTGAGCCACAGGAAAGAGGAATGATTTTGCGGTAGGATAAAGGAATCGCGCCTGATGAACGAATGTACCACACCGGACGAAGCTGAGAGGCGGGCAGCTGCTTGAACACTGAAATGAATGCCCAATGATACAAAGAAAGATGGAGGAGATATGCCACCCCAATTCGTACCTGAAATTTGGCAGCTCAGGCACACAATAGGCGTTCATTTTGTTTTTCTCCTACCAACGCCTCATCATGTCCACCCACACCAATTTCGAGGCATTCTTCATTCCCTGCATCGTTCATTGTTCTCAATTCCATGCCCCCTTGCAAGTCGTAACATATCAGAACATCTCCAATGCTGAAGAGTGGAGTGCAAAGCGTCGAGCAAGGTCCCCTGGGCCCTGCGAGGACAATTTCGAAGCTACGATAAACGTGGCAAGCAGATATCCTCCGATGACCGCCAGCCTCAGCCTCGAGATGCAAGCTGGCGGGTGACAGGCTAATATATGCGTTTCAAGGTTCGTATCGTCGACAGGGGAATAACGACGAAGATCTCGGCGATGAGACTCGATGTACCATACGGGGCGGATCCGAGACGGAATTTGGAAAGCCATGATACCCACCATGAAAGTTAACAGATGTAATGTACGTCATTTCCGCTTTTCTGAGAAGTATCAAAGTCGATTAAGCCGGTATGGGTCGGTCGTCGTCGTTCTTTTGGACACGAGCGTTGTGTAAGTGGAGGCAGCGGCTAGTGGACAATTGATGATTGCTCCCACGCCTCGAATAGAAAACAAGTTGAACATGGCCATGGCGGCGGCCTGTTGAATATGCATCATGTAGGTATACATGCGCGAACGTACGTGTGTAGTGTAGCGCAGTGTGGTGAATTGTATCTGTATGGAGGCATTATGTGTGCCAGTCGTGACAACACATCGTGCGGGTCCCAATCAACGACCTCGAACTATTTGACAAAGTATAAGTTAGCTCAGTTGCCCCTCAGACTAAAAACATGCTACTATGAGACAAGAACCTGCAAGAAAAAAGCGTTTTCACAGGTACATCGATGTCGAAATCCGCTTTGTATACGCCTGATACGGAAACATCGCTTCCGGGGAAAATCAGAAAACGAGTATCAAAAAACTGTTAAACCTCGAAACGGCCAAAAAAGGAACGAACAACCTCACCTTGGTGTATTTCCGGTCAAGCAACATCGAGAAAACGTACCCCCGTTACCCACACCCCCGAGCCGGGCCAGCAAAAAGAGACCACTGCTGCCCAACGGCCATTGCGCCGAACAGCCAAAAAAAAAAGAGACTTCTCGATCGCGGTTGCGAACGACATCCTTTGTCTCTGCCGAAACGGGCTGCCAGGCACACCACTGCCACTTGTAGCTGGCTGGATTCTTGCTGCTGTCTACTGCTGCGACTGCTGCGGCCATTTCTCAATAATACCACAGTCTGCCTGGTCAGTTCCGTTTTGAACCATTTTCTTTTGGATTTTCTTTTCACACGCCCCTCCTTTACCATGGTCCATGGCATTCAATTTCTGTTCATCCCACGCATTTTACCCCCATGGTAAAAGCCCCCCAAGCCAAAAAGGCTATCCCTGAAGAAGATGGACCATCATTGGACACAAGTGACCAAAGAAGCATCATTGTGTACAGCATGGTATTGCATGTTGTAGGGGGAGGGGGGCAAGGAAAGAAGGGGGGCGGCCAACTTGCAAAGATGGGAATGAGAGAACAGGAAAAAAAAAACATAAATAAAAGATGGCTAACAAACCTTTTGTCTGGCTGAACAGAGTCTGAACAGTCCAGTACCAAACCTGGCATCCGTGACTTCATATCCTAACCGAAACCCCCGAAACGAAACGAACCACTTCTACTCCTCTCTTGGTTCTGCTGCCACCGCTCCTCCTCTTCCTCCTTGTCTCCTCCATTCTATTCTCCACCACATTGCGCATCGACAAGCTAGTTGCCTTCTCTAGCTAGCCAGACGGACCGGCCCGCCAGGGGACGGGGACAAACAACATCGAAAAAGAAAATACCGAAAGAGAGGAAAGAGACAACCGGAAGGGAAGAAGAAAAGAAAGAGACAAGAGAGAAGAAGAAGACCTTAGGGGGTGATCGAGAATCAAGAGGAACAATGTGTTACTTTTATCAAACACGTTGGTCCTGCGGATATTGGAGATGGGGTCAGTTCAAACAGCAATGCAACAAAGAGTACCGAACGGGCGAAACATGCGGACTGAAGCTGGTGTACGAAACCATCACAAACGAGGACCGATGCAAGCTGTGCTACGATATGGACAAGAAATATCGTCGGTTAACCAAAATGCAAGGAGACGTCGCTCGGTGGTGCCGCGAAGGGAATCGCAAGGCGACGATCGAGCGGACAAACCTCGAGATACAGGAAGTCAACCGCCAGATCCAAGAAATGAACAATCAGCATTGGACACGGGTGAATCTGTTGGCCTGATGGATCGTCTACTGCCTGGCTGCTGCTTTGCTGCTGGATGGTTTGATCATGGTCCATGGAGGGGCTCCTATATGGGTATGTTGCAACTTTTTTTTTCTTTGGTTCGGCTCTTCCCTTTTCCCCTCACCTCCCTCTCCGAATTTTTCTCCATAAACGAATGCCCCTCGTTTGCTGGACCTGTTTTGTGCGGCATGGTGGGAGTGGCGGATTTGCTGCTCAGGGGTAAGCCGAGTCGGGGGTGTGGTGTGTGTGCGTGCTGCGAGAGAGTGTGTGTGCCACAGCTACAGGACTGCCGTTTGCTGACTTGGCTTCTACTATCAGTGGCTCTCGAGCCTCCCTCGCATCTAGAGGGGACGACGATATGACGAAACGGAATGGAATGTGCGCGGAAACAATGGTGCGGAAAATCGATTGACGAAGAAAGATTGAGGGAAAAGCGACAAGCAAGTCTTTGACACACTGCGGGACTGGAGAGGTTTCCTGTCGGACCCTGGCTTTGGGGGGAATTTCCAAGTTGAACCACGTAACGGCCGTTCATTCGCTGATTCTGCATCATTTTTGGTCTCTTTTGTTCTTCTTTCTTTTTCTTCTTCTTCCTCTTCTTCACTTTATTCATGGTCACTTCTGCTCAGGTTGGGCGGGCGAAGGTTTAAATTTCCCAGACCGGAGGCTACAGGATCCTGTACAGTTTTATTTCTTCACCCGGAGAGCATCTCGACATACTTAATTTCAGCCCTCGTTGGCAGTCAAAGTGTTGTGTGCGTTTGGTGCCCGCAAGAGACCGCTTCGTGTAGGATGCTTCGTCGCGAACCTGGTCCGCCGCTTAGACGGCGACAGGGACTCGAATGATGGGCCCCTCAGCAGCACCTTGCTTAGTTTGTATGCTCATCTCACGCTGTCCTCGGAGTCCCTTCCGTCATTTCGAATTGACTCTTCTGTCCCCTGCCTAGAAGGCCTTGGCCATACAGACACGCATTTTGGCAAGCCCAGCTCGAACGGCTCGGACCTAGAGACTATTGAATTTTGGGAGCCGAATGATGGCAACTCCAAGCGTGGCAGTCATGCTTCCTTCTCCAGGGCACACATGACTAAGGAGGGATTGATGAAGCAAAGCTCTCCCACTTTTTCCTTCCTGCACGGCTGCCCATCCAGCAGGTTTTTGGCGTGCTTATCAGGTAAGTAAGTTGCAGAAAGCAGACTCTGCCGGCGAATGAGAGTGGCACGCGATAGTCGATGGCGAAGGGACAGGAGGCGGTATTGCGTCGATCTGGTCTAGGTACAGCACAGGTACGACGAGTAGCGGCCCTCAAGCAAACATCCAGCCCCTCTTCGCTCCTGCTCCTTTTGTTATTTCGTGTTTCTACAGCGAGCTTGTAAAGTTTATGTTCCTCAAGGCACGTCATCCGTTCTCACGTGTCGCTGTCTAGCAAGTGAGGCGAGACCCCGCGGCTTTGGGATGAGCCCCCTCAAAGACTCCCGCGAGTGCCCCTCCCCAGGGTCCCTGTAAGCACAGCACACTGACAAGCGTACCTGTCATCTGACCTGAGGCCAAAGTGGTGGGAGGAGCGGGAGGAGCAGAAAGAAGGGCTTGGCGTAGGAGAGACTGGGGACAGAAGAGGGACGAGAGGAATGGTGGGTTGTGTCGGGCTTCATGAGATGGGACTGGGAGGCCGCCCCATCTGGCCGCAGCACACCACCCCTCCTTATGCCGTCCATCCCACTTCACATTCAAGGTACCATTTCTTGGACTCGTCTCCGCCAATGAGCCACGGGAACCGCACAGACTCCCGCACAACCCTGAATGGCGGGCATCAGAGTCTTAATATGAGCCTCTACATGCTTCCCTCCTGTCCAGTGTTGATGTGCTCGTCCGCCCCGAAAGGTCGGCCGAAATCCAAGCTAAAGGTGTCGCTTCCAAACATGGCCCGAACTAGGATGCAACATTCCTTGCCAAAGGGTCCACACTAGAAAAGGTAAACATCAGCCGGAGGTGCACGTGGCCATCTTTCAATGGACTAGGCAACCCATGGCCTGCCGCTGAAGAATATTCGAGACACAGTCATTGGCCCGCCATGGTACGAACCAGGGGGGCTCCAAAGTGGGATGGAGGGAATTTTTCATTGATTACGGATAATTCGTGGTCTTTTGGGCCCATCGTGTCCACCTTTCTCATAACCTCGTTGTTGCCCAGACGTTTTATACAAGGGTTTCGAACCAAGTACAGGGTTTGGAAATAGAAAATGGAAGAAGGGGGAGAAAAACAAACAAACAAACAGAAAATGCGATATGTGAGTGAATGTGGATGCTTCTCGGTTGTGCGATTGTGCTTGCTCTGATTTTGTGTGGGTGGAATTTTGAGAAGCGTGTGTCTGCGAACTGTGTTTGGAGGGGTATCGAGGGAAAAGAGAAAAAGATGTCGTCACTCCATGCCATTCCGTCCCATGTTGCCGTAATCCGACGGGACCCTGACCATGCGTCGACCAATACGAATGTTCGATAGAAAGACAGCGCAAGAATAAGGAGCATAGCCTAGCCGCCCTGCCCGTGAGCTCGGGTGGGCAGAAACCAGGAGAATGATTCATGACCAAGAGTTTCAAGCCATTGCCGCTGCTGCATCGGCGAATGTACCGACAAGGGGCTTGTCCAACTCGGTCTTGACTGCTGGTACGCCGTGTCGCATTTCGATGGTGTCATCTTCCTGGGGAAGCCAATCCACTTGAACACCGGTTGGGGCGTCGTCCTTGGACGCCAGCTTTGAAAGGAGATGCTGGTACCGCACGATGCGGGCTTCTTGCCCTGCATACGCAAATGTAGTCGGCGCAGAGCGATGTGCGTGATCCTGCGGGGCAATCTCGAAGATGTCGACCATATTGCTAGGAAGTCCGATGTTAGCACTCCCGGTCCTGACACGAGAACAAGCCCGCCGTCCCGGAGCTTGGGTCGAGAGTCAGTACGTACTCGGACGTTTTCGCTACGACTCGCTGCAGAGCCTCAGTCTCTCGCTGCACCTCCATCGGGTCCTCCTGTCCATTGACACTCTGCTCTCCGAAGCTGCCGTAGTGCACATTGTTTGGATCGTCGTAGAGAAGTCGCGATTCCTCGTCCTGGAAAGCCCGTCAGCCGCTGCATGCTACGCTGCGAGTGCGCCAGCCCGCAACGTCACCCACCTCGTCATAGACGTCCTTGTTTCCCCGCCCGAGGCATGACGCACAAATGCCCATCGCGAATCGAGAAATCGGCGGGTCGGTCCCTAGTCGTGCGATGCGCTGCCCTCGGCAAATCTTAAGGCCAGTGCCGGTCGTGGGCGGTGAATATCAGAACTAAGATAGCATAAAAGAGTGGACGGAGCTTTGCTACCAAGCAGTGTTTGGCAAGACGATGGCGTGAGGGACTGGTTGATGGCGCGTGTTTGGATTATGATGCTGGTGGCAGAAAGCGTAAGATTGCGACGATGGAATGACGTTCTCATTCCGGCAGGCGGTCGGACTCGGTGTCGGAATATCATCTTCTCCGCGAGATTTCCCCACAGCGGGACGGGACGGCCAGGCCCGAGCTCCACGCAGCGGTTTTCTGGTGTTTTGGGACGAAAAAAAAGCTGGAGGACCCGGCAGTGTGTTCGAAACCTGGACCTTGCACTGACCCGACCTGACGGCTTCTTCCTCACTTAAATTCCACGGGCAATCGCCGAACACCCAATGGGGGCAATTCGTTCCGTCGCAGTTGTGATGCGTCCTGCCCGACATCTTTGCGGCGTATCCACCGCATAATGCATGATATCCAATGGCTTTCATTGCTTTTTGACTCGCGCAAAGCTTACGCTTGACGGATTATCTTATCAGCGAAAGGATTGAAGTCAAGAGCTCTCTCCCTTGGGGACACAGACGTCAATATTGAGCCCTGTGTCACTTCTTTCCCTCCTCACATCTCCCTGGTCCCTAAAACCGGGCTCAACTACGGACTATTGACTTGAGAAACCCCCTTCATCGCCAAATACGGCATGATCACAGTCCATTTTCGGTTGAAGACCATCCAAGCGGAAGACGGCTTCATGGCCATGGGAAATGCTATACAATATGGAAACCCCCTCCAAAGATTTGTAGAGGCAGTTGTCTCCGGTTTTCCGTACCCTCGGCAGGCTCTATTGTTCTTCGTGGAGCAATAAGTCGCAATACAGGGAAACGACATTCCTACGGCAGCAGCGCAAACCTGAAGTTCACCAGAAGCCTTACAGCAAGCAAACTGTCTAATAGATACTCGCGCAGCATAGATGACGAGCATATAACTCCGCCATCTTTCCAGACAAGATGCTGTGTTTCTTGATCATCAGCTTCAGCTAACACACTTACACTGGTCCGCTTCCCACTCCCACCAGCAATAGCAAATACTCTCCGAGCTTCTCTACTTCTCATATTCTCGATTGATCTGTTCAAGTACCAGGGAACCGTCGTCACCATGGTCCATCAACGTAGCTTCCTGACTTTGTCAGTCCTCTCCTTGGCCACAATCGCGGCGGCCCGTCCCGATAACCTGAGAGCACGAACGCCGCCAAACCCCAACACCTGTCCCTGTCTGCCGGAGGGCACACCGAGCGTCATCACCAAGACCGAGACCGCCCATTCCACAGTCTACCAGACCGCTTCCGCTTCTTTCGTCCAGGAGACCGTCACGGCTACCCTCACAGTCACGCGCCAACCAGTAACTCAGACCGAGACCCGAACCGTCCACGTTACCAAGACCAAGACCGCCGAGGAGCAGGAACAAGTCACCGTCACCTGCACCGAAGTCATCAGCGAAGGCCCTGATGGCTCAGCAACTACCAAGACCAAGCCGCCCGGAGACCACGAACACACCAAGACGAAGACGCGCACTGGCCATGGGGGCTCTGAGACGACTGCGCCGGGCCATGATGACGATGAGCAAGCCACCCAGACAGACTCGGTTTCCGCCTCTGCAACGGCAACGGCAACGGCAACGGCAACGCACACCGGCTCGAACGGCGGTAAGCCGACCAACAAGCCTCCACATGGCGGTGATGGCGGCGACGGCGGCGATGATGATGACAATGGCAATGGTTCCAACCCGACTTCAGCCCACCACTGCAACCACTGGAACGGCAGCAAGTGCGTCAAGCCGACCGATGTCCCCAGCGACTCCGCCGTTACTCTCACTGCCACGGCCACGGCAACCGCAACGGCGACGGGCACGACAACCGATAACGCTTTGCCGACCTACTCGGTCTGCTCCGTCTCTGTGGCTCTCGTTACCGTCTATAATACGGTTACCGCGACTGTCTACCAGACCGGCACAGCTCCTGTACACAAGCCTCGCGCGCCAACAGCATTGGCCGCCTGGTAGTTTGATTGCCTGCATGGGTTTCGGTTGTGATATATCGATGGAAGTTTATGGGGACGACATATTTCTCCCTTAGTAAGGGTGTTAATGGTGAAAAAGTAATGTCTACTGTAGTTAGGAAGGATTTCAATAATATCAAAATGTTTATGTCAAGCTTCGAGATGTACAAGTGACTGAAAGGGATTGCCTGGGGACGTTGAATTTACTAACCAGAAGTGAAGGTGTAAAATTACAGTATTTATACAACATAAAACGTCTGGGGCTCCCATTGTAACATGATCGGGGGCTTGGAACAAAGACAAAAGAACGCTCAACTGAACAAGGCGATTGTCATGAGCGGTATCGGAAGCCCATGAAATCGTCCCCGTCCTCGTCGTCTTCGTCATCCTCTTCCTCGTCGTCATTGACTTCCACGTTTTCTTTGCCACTGGCTTCAGCCGGCTTTTCGACAGGCGCAGTGGTGCCCGTAAAGCTCTGCTTCCTCAAAGCCTCCCGCTTTTCCTTTAATCTCCGAACCCGAGCCTCAAGCTCCTCCATATCCTCAAACTCCGTTTCCAGTGCCCGAGTAGCCTCCTCTTTCTCATCAAGTAGGTCTTTCTCCGCAAGCAGACGTCGTTTTGCTTGTTCCTCCTCCTCTGTCTTCGCTGCTGCTGCAGTCTCCTCAGCCGTCATGGCTGGTGCAGCAATGACGGCGTCCTCCGAATACGGTGCTGTTGTCGCAGCAATATCGGCCTCAAACGCTGCCCACTCGTCCTCGTCAACAGTTCCTCCAGCAGTCTTCCCAGCCGTGCCATTCTGTTGTGTTGCCGGGCCAGCAGTGACCGGCTTCGTCGGCAACTCCTCTTGCGGGATCAATGGCGAGGGACCGACGGGCTGCACAATGGGTGTCGAATTTGAAGAAGTCGCATCTCTATGCGCAGGAGTATGCGGGCGCGACGGCATCTGAATCTCAACCCCCTGTACTGGTGTGGTGGACGTTCGGCGGTTCAGCGAAGGTGGTGTGAGTGTCACGTCCTTGCGATCATGGTCTGACTCGCCAGCGGACAGGCGAGCAGGAGTGCCCATATTCCCCTTGCTTCGCTTCTTCCGCACCGCATCGGCTGCGTCGTCATCTTCCATGTCCTCATCCGAGTCGTGTTTCCGCTTGTTTGAGGAGACTCCGTTCGCGGCCGCCGATCCGCTCGCGCCCGTGGACGCTTGTTGCACCGCCTTGACCTTGGCCGTATGCCCGGATCCACGGATATGGCTGTCCCAAAGAGACTCAGACTTGATCGCCTCGTGGCAGAGGGTGCAGAGGAGCTTGCCCGCATCAGAGTAGGCGGCGTGAGGGTGCTCGATTCGTCTGGCAGCACGTTGTTGACGGAGGAGGGATCGTACGTCGGCCATGGCAGGTATGAACGCGTTTTGACGATACCTAAATGTGCGCGGATGCTCCGCAGATTCAGATATGGCGAGGACTATGCTCAATGGCGAGGAGGCGTCGAAAGTCGGAAAGCCGGGCGAACTTGTATTCGGGCTAAGATTTGAATGGAAGCAACGCAAACGACGTAGCGTGGTAGCGAAGCCGTACCTTTGCTCTGGCCTGGAAAGTGGAGGTGACAAGGTGTAGGTGCCAGGTGGGCAAAGTTGGCGCCAGTTCGATTCAAGCACAGCGGGGTTAGCAGAGCGCGAAAGGCCTGCCGACGCTACCCCGGGTGCCCATAGCTTTCCAACCGACCTTGCTGACGGGCCTGACTCCTGCTGCCTCGACAAGGCCGATCTTCAGCTGTCCGTGCCTTCAAGGTCCCGTCGCGCAATTCGTAGTTGCATTAAACTCTCACCCACATTCCACCATTTCGACGCTACCGAGACAAATACACTCCAGGAATTTCATCACACGAACAACTAGGGAACGATTGCAACCCTTAACCGACCTGAGATTATCCAGCGGCTCTCAGCGACGATACCCTCGCCATACGCATGGCCGACAATCCAGAAGAGCCATCGCAAAATGCGCTGGCCTCGACGTTCCCCAACCCGCCGCCGTTCTGGAGAGACTTTACCCCGGAAAACGTCGCCAGGATAGAAGAGCTGCGAAAAGCGCAAGCAGAAAAGGATGGCGTTGCTGTCAAGAACTTGCCAGCCCGCATACCAGATGTTCCCGAAAGCCTCATGAATCTCCAACCTCCGGCTGAGCCGCCAGCAGGAACATGGAAAGTCTTGGGCGGAAACTATACGGTATGTCTTTTCGGCTCGTGACGGTCGATTGGAAACGGGGACGCTGATGATCCGCGTAGCTCGACGATAAGCTTCCTTCTCTCGAGGAAGGTGAAATCAAGCGATTGGTACCGGCGCATTCGGAGGAGAAGGACGGAAAGCATCTCGATCGAGCATTCGAGCTCAAGAAAATGGCCAAGTCTCTGCTGCTTAACTTTCTCGAGCTCGTTGCCGTCATGGCTACGGTGCCAGACGACGTAAGTGAACCGCGGCCTTTCCCCGTTTCCCCTCAAACTAACCAGTCGAAGGCTGCTGCGAAAATTGAAGATTTGCGCACCATCTTCATCAACTTCCACCACGTCCTGAACGAATATCGACCCCATCAAGCTCGCGAATCGGCCATTGCGCTGATGCAATCCAATCTCGATCGTACCAGAGCGGAAACAGCTGCGATTCGAGCACAGGTTGACACGGCCAAGCGAGTTCTCGAGGGCTTAGGAAGCATTGATACACCGAAAGTACCAGATATCATCAGCTCAGTCGTTGACGGCGAGCTGACTAGTAAAGAAGCGGAGACTTTTGCCCAGACAAGAGAGCAAGAAGTATGGGGAGAGGCGGATGCTTTGTTTCTTTAGCAAGGGAATGACATATCAGCTGCTACATGTGAAGATAGCTTGAGGGCCCTCTTTCCATGGGCCTTTGAGCATCCTGGGGTTTGAATACACGGATTGGTCGGCAGAGTGGTGGCGGCGGTGATGAGCAAAAGTTTCGTGGTGTTTTCGGCAAGCATTGATACCCAATTTCATACCCGACTAGACTAGGGATGAGCCACGAGAAACGGGCGTCGACAAGACAAGGCAATGCAGAAGGAGATGGTCCCGCAACATGATATTGAATCAGACGACGAACGTAGGTGCTCTCCACGGGGTTTGCAAGGGACAAACAGCTTTGGAGTCAACGACGTAGACGATAGAATAGCCACAAAGGCAAATCATAAATTCATGCTAAACTCGTATAGCACCAGCGTCAAAGATATCAAAAGCAACAAACGGTATCAATCCTCCACAGCGTCGCTACATTCCGCCCTCCAGGAAGGCCCCAAATCCAAGCCAAATTGTACTTCTCACCTGCCGCAGCAGGATCCCCTTTACATGACGGTGCAGGGAATGGGGATGCAGCAGCACTCGTATCCGTCGCACTCGATGCACTTCGTCTTGCCGCCCGTGGCCTCGGCGGGCTTGACGATGCTGTCGATGATGGAAGTGGCGGCGCTGCCGGGGCCGTTGCGGTTGATAAGGCCGGAGGAAGCTGGGCCGCAAGCCATTGTGATTGTGGTTGGTGATGGAAGAGCTTGGTAGTGTGTAGATGGGAATTCTACGTTGTTGTTAGTTGCTAAAGATCTTGACTGTTGCTCAAATAGATGCGCATGTGACGTCACGGCTGGAGCTCTCTTACGGATACTTGCAGATGACTACGTAGCAACTGAAGCAACGGTTGGACAGATGAACAGTTGAGCTTGAAGATGTCGAAAGAAGGTTGAAACGGTTCAAGCAGTTTTAATTTGAACAATGGAAGTCTACTCTCAAGGGAAAAGGCGGTCCAGACCCAGTCTCAGCCAGCCTTAAATAAAATGCACAACCCACCCCCCATGCCCGCTCAACCCAATGCTTCCCGTGTTTCTAAATCCAGCAAGGTTGTCGTCATGGCGTGGTGGGGTGCAAGGCATAAACCCGGCAAAATGCTGTGGCTGAACCGTCTTCGATTCGTTGGCCTGCTCAGCCAACCAGTGGCAGTGCGAACCGGGCTCCCGGGGCCGGGGTGTGTTCCCGATACCTACCTTGCTGTGCCATTAAGTATAAGGTAGGTAGGAGTGTTTGCCGTCTTACTATTCGTTGTACACTGAATGCACCCGACGGTGGAAGATAGGTAGATAAACCGGACGGGAGGTGGGGGATTGGTTCCCGTCGAAAGAAGCAAGTGCTGTCTCTGACTTACTGCCTGTTGACAGCCGTTTCAGCACTTTAATGGGTCGCAGAGGATGACAGCCCGGGCTGTTGACTCGCGACAGACCCAGCACTGGAAATGACCGAGATGAGAGATCTTGGCGAGTTGAGTTTGCACTTTGGACTCGTTGGCGGCATCGCTTTGACCGAGTTCCACCACAAAGGCCAAGAATCAACGAATTGCCGTGTTCCGGGAAACGTGAATATGAAGCTAGGAGAAGCCTAATTATCCATAGAGAACTCAACCATACAGTAGTATCTATCTGTACGATAGAGAGGGAGGACAAAGTAGTCGGCCAGGATCAATATCCTTCTTCCAACAGCTCTTGCGAACAAAGGTCGACTTTGGACTAAGACTGATTGTTGCCGACAACAGCTACTAAACCAAATCACGATACAGCTACACAAAAGGAACATGAGAGAATAGCTTTGATTGCCCTATTTCAATACAGCTAGACAATGAACTCCATAGCAAATCCCCATTTAGCAAAGGCCCAAATGCCCCCTACGAGGGAGCGGTATCTCCGTCTCTCAGTCCCAAGACCTCGCGTAAAACTCAATAAACAGCTACCTATGTACCGCGAATGAGAGGATATACGCTTTTGCAAGCAAACTTTACTGGTTTGCCCATCCAATAACAACCCATGATCACGCTGATGGCGCAACCCCCTGCGCGCCTTGCGGAGCCGGAGAGGCAATATCGCTGCCCTTAGCAGCTGGCGGTTGTTTCTCCAACAGGAGGCTTAGATGGGTCAGGTCATTTCGCGCCCGCAGGTCTCTCTCCAAGATGCCTCGAACGACCTCCCACTCTGTCCGCGACATCTGGTAGGCTTGAGGCAGCAAGAACTTCATCGTAGGACTGTTGATCAAAGGGCCCAGAACTTCTTGTGCCAGCGCCTGGCCTTGTTGTTGACGTTGTTGATTTTCGAGTTCAGCGCCGCGAGCGGCCGTATAGCCCGTGGGAGGCTGGTTAGACGGAACAGCCTGATGTGCCCCTTGTGCTGGATATTCCTGTAAAGTGTGGGCAGTGTTGCCAACAGGATGGCCCGGTTGCTGGAAGGGGCCCTGGGCAACCGTTGGCGAGAATGCCGGGCCAGATATCGAGGGGTGTCGTGGAGGGACGCCGCTCTGTGGGGGAGTTGGCACATTGGTGACGGGTGATTGAGATGTGGTGCCGCCCAACTGAGGCTGTCTGGGGGTATTGCGGTACACGAAGACAGCCAATAGCATAGGCTCCGTCCTCTTCTGAGGGACAAGGTTATCCGAAAAGTTGAGCATGAACTCTGGCATGTTGCTGTCCCCCGGAAGGACAGGAACCAAGTAGGTGTCCCTCACATTGCCCACGCCCTTATCTCCAACAACAGCGTAGCGCTTTTTCGAGACGAAATAGTCAATGAGGGCCTGGAACTCCCGTCTATAAACCTCGGACGACGGCGTTATTGCCACGACGACAATGTCGGTCTGGTCAGCGTAGCGCAAGCCGCAGAGATACTCTATCGCCTTCTGTTCGTCTATGCGTCCAGCAACCGTGAGTTTCTTTGGGATGAGGCTGGTCCAGGGCAATGCAATGGTGGTAGAGAGGTTGGCGCCACCAACAAACCTGGCGGCAGCCGGGAAGTCGGCAATCGAGCTCATTACCAAGTGGCCACGCCAAATGACATCAGGATCTGTCTCATCAGTTGGCGAATAGGGTGGAGAGTCCGTCTCTTCCTGCAGAAGTCTATCCACGTCTGCGTCAACACCGGGGCCATGGTTTGGCGCCGACGGCCGGCGATTGTGTGTGCCCGTGGGAGATTTGACGGTTGCGTAAACCTTGTTGATGTCGAAGTCGGGATGCTTGGGAGAGTGTCGGGCTCCACGGGTATCGATGTGTAGACCAGCATGGGCAGGAAGCTCCACTGAGTTCTCATAGTGCGATTCTCCGTCGGATTTGATGCCAGCCTGCCCCTCTCGGCCACTTGGTCGTCTTATGAAAGACCTGCGTTCGTCATTCTGATGGAAGGACTCGTTCTCGACGATCTCTTCGCCTTTGTGTGTTCTCCTCATACGAGGACCATCTTCGGTGATAAGGATCGACTGCTTCTCAGAGATGGCCTTCAGCTGAGCGTTGGCCTCCTGCCTCTCCTTGGTAGCCAGCTCGTCGGCAGACATTGTGGCTAGCATAGTTGGCGACAGAGTGCGCTTCAATAAGCGTTTGGTTAAGTCGCCGTTCAGCTTCATATTCGCATATAGGATCCGCGCCTGCATTGCGTACTGGCTCCGGTCCGGGTGTGCATCGTGAACCGCGCGTTCAATCTCGAGTGCCATACGCTCCGCTTTAGCTGCAATAGTGGTGTCTTTTGGGAGACTGATGGTCTTGTCCTTGACACCAGCAGTGAGGCTGCCGCCGACAGCCTTTTGCAGGAGTTGGGCGGGTCCCTTGCGATCCTCGGGGAGATCGCTGACCTTTGCATCTAGGTCGGCCGGTGCGGTGTAATTGACGACAGGGGATGCTTCTGGATCCGAGACTTTGCGTTGCTTTGGCGCAGGCGTCTAGAAAGCGTAGAGTTAGCAATGCTTCGCGCGAGGCTTTGGGAAGACGGAAGGCTTACCTTTGCTTCCTTTTCTCCAGTCTCCTCTCGCGTCTTGCGCTTGCCAGTGGCGGCCTTGGATGCGGCGTCCTTCTTGTCCTTCTTCTCCTTGGCGGGTTCTGAGGGAGCGGGTGAATCCTCGGCCTTGTTACTCCTCGTGTCTTGCGACAACTCTTCTTTGGGGTCGCTGGCGCGCTTTCCAGCTCTGCCGCCCTTCTTCTTTTTCTTCTTCTTCTCGTTCTGTTCGTCTTCGTAAGCCTTGCGGCGAGACTCCCACGGGCGCTCGCCTTGCTCCATGAGAGCCAGTAGTTCCTTGTGATCCTGAGGAGCACATTGCTCACAGTAGTAGTTTTTAGGGAGATCTTCCGTAAAGACACTCATACCCATGCAAACGTTGTGCTGCCATGCCGTGCATTTGTCGCAAGCGATCCAAGGCTCCTCTGAGTCGCCATCCTGCTCAGTTGCGCCGCAGACGCAGCGGATAATCTCTTCTTCTGGTTCCTCCTCTTGCTTCTTCTTCCTTCCTCGTTTCTTGGGCGGTTCGATAGGTTGGTCGTCGAAGGCCTTTGTATGCTGACCTTTGGTTGCGCGCACAGAGCGGCGAGGCTCCGGTTCTCCTTTACGAACCATACTGGTTAGATCTTGTTGGTAAAGAATGCGGCAGTGTAAGGTATGTGTGCGTGCTTGTGCTTGTGTGTATGTTTTTTGGGGGAAAGACGAGGGGTGGCTGGCTGCGGGGCAGCGTGAAGCGACACTTACCAGACATAATGGCTTTGTTGCCAGCGGTGGCAGGAAGGAGAGGTGGAAGCGTTCAAACGTCCGTCTCCCTTTGTTGGGAAGGAGCGCGATGGTGCACCTTTGGGGGAAGGTACGGGATCTACTCCAGTTGTCGATTCAGGAAGGTCCGGTGTCCTCTGTCTTTCTCAAGCATGCATTGGATTTTACGGCAGAGCAGGAAAAAAAAAGACTATGATATGTGACCCATCCAAGATACGCGCGCGACACCACAGGCTCGATGCGAAGAGCGCAGACCGCGCGGGAACCCTTCCAATCGTCCCTCTCGAGTGAGTTCCAACACAGATAAGAAGTATAACGTCGCGCGACACAGTTTGCGACAACGAAATCAAGGTCGATCGTGGTGGGAGCGATGTTCGCGTGCCGCTTTTTGGGTTGTGTGGGAGAGGAGCAGAAGGGAGCTTGCGCAAAGGTGGAGGTGATGGAGTGGGTTGCGGTGCGGTGCGCTGCGATAAAACGGCGCGAGGTTGGAGGGAAAATGCCGAACCGCCTCCACATCCTGTCATTAGGTAAGCGTCGTTAACCACGATCTTGGGCCCATCGCTCGGTGAGAAGTGCACGGATGCCGGGGAGGCGGGGGATGCATTGTTGTGGCCTTGATGCCTGATTACCTATTTTCGGTGAGATAGGTGAGAGAAAACCTCTGGCCCCCGTCTGAGGTGGAAAGCAAAACGATGAGGTAAGAGCCTCCCGGCAAAAGCTCGGACCATCCTTACCTCAGCGGCTTAGCCCTCCCCCGGTTGCTCCCCCAGGCTGGCTAGCAGCGCAAGGAGCTAACGCGTGCGTCGATTGCCTGGAGCTTGCCTCATCGAGCTGCACCCAAAGTCGTAGCCTTCCCTGCAGACGACCAACAAACCATCTTGCCGCAACTTCACACGAATCCGATCGTCGGCTTCACAAACGAGATCAGTACCGCAATCGAATCCTCAGTCACAGTCAAGTGCAACTCGATTGCTCGCCCATCATGTCACGCAGATACGATTCCCGCGTAAGGTCCCTCCCCGCTCTTCCCTTGCTCTACGTCCCCTCCATCCTAGTAGGGCAGCAAGCTCACACTTTGTGTTAGACAACAATCTTCTCCCCCGAGGGCCGTCTCTACCAGGTTGAATATGCCCTTGAGGCTATCTCTCACGCTGGAACTGCCATTGGCATCCTCGCCAAGGATGGCATCGTTTTGGCCGCCGAGCGCAAGGTGACTTCGAAGCTGTTGGAGCAAGACACTTCAGCGGAGAAGCTGTACATCGTCAACGAGTACGTAGTTGTGGGCTCAGCACTATATCTCTAGACTCTAACGCTCTTGCCTCCTAGCAACATGCTTGCCGCCGTTGCAGGTATGACGGCTGACGCCAACATCCTGATCAACTATGCCCGTCAGGCCGCCCAAAGATACCTCCTCACCTACAACGAAGACATTCCATGCGAGCAGCTCGTCCGGAGACTATGCGATCTGAAGCAAGGATACACACAACACGGTGGTCTGAGACCGTTTGGCGTCTCCTTCATCTACGCCGGATGGGACCCTCGTAGACAGTTCCAGCTGTACCAGAGCAACCCTTCAGGCAACTACGGCGGATGGAAGGCGACGGCTGTCGGTGCCAACAGAGCTAGCGCAGAGAGCTTGTTGAAGCAGGACTACAAGGAAGATTGCACTCTCAAGGAGGCTTGTGGCATGGCGGTCAAGGTTCTTAGCAAGACCATGGACTCAACGAAGCTGAGCGCGGAGAAGCGTACGTTATTGCCATGACCCCCCTTCGATCTGCGAATTAATACTAACCGAATGTAAACAGTCGAATTCGCCACCGTTGGCCAGACGAGCGACGGCAAGATCTACCACAGACTCTGGACCGCAGAGGAGATCAAGGAATTGCTGAAGGAGCATGATTTGGCAAAGGACGAGTCCACGGAGGACAAATAATGGCATGGATGAATTCAAAAACATAGATGGGGCGTGATGATTGCCCTTAACCCTGATGTACCAATAGAATTGATGCCCCCAAATTTCCGGAATCTCAGACCCCCAAAACCCTGATAGGTTGCTGCCAAGATGCAAATGCGATGCTGCGGTTTCCCAGGGTGAGCTCTAAAATGGCATGCAATGCAGAGGTGATAAACCAGGCTAAAGATGAAGCAGAAGAAAGCAAGGCAAGAATGCAGTAAACACGAGAAACAATATAGTGATTAGTCTTACGTGTGTAGATGGCTAAGTCGGTGGTTGGTTTGTTGCATTCGTACTCTATGAAGGACCCTACTGACAGTGATTAGTGTCTCTGGCTATTTAGCTGGGTCATCTCGTAGCCTACGTCGGGTCGCGAGTCCCCAGCTTCCTCCTCGTCTCGCAGGCGGTTCCACCCAGTCTTGGGGTCCGATCCAGGATATGGATGGGGTTCATGACATTCCTTGGCGGTCAACTTCGGCCAGTGTCGTCGATAACTCCAGTACGCAACCACGTAACCAAGCAAAGAGCCCACGGAAACATCATATACGTCGTGTCTATAGTCCTCACACCGGCTGATGGCGATGAGTGCAGCCCCCAGCAGCGGCAGAAGGCAAATGAGGGCGCGGCTAAGGTCTCGGCCTCCACTGTTGTGTCGGAAAATGTGCAGCTGGCCAGCCAAGAATAAGCTCAAGAAGCCAAGTCCAGAAAAAGAGAAAGACGAATGGCCCGACGGGAAGGACCGCCAACCATCATGGAGGAGATGGTGCGCAGTCTCAGTGCAGACATCGATGGTAACAAGCACGTCAGGCTTGGTGCCAGTCGCCGGCTTACATCTGGCCAGCAAATCGGGACGCGGTCGGCCGACAGTATTCTTGACGAGGTCCGTGAGAAAGGAGCCCATGATGATGGCGATGGCAAAGGACAGGTAGGTGACCTCGTGCTTGTGAGGCGATGCTTTTGTGACAACATTATACGCAACCAACACGCCCAGCGGTATGAAGAGGGCGTATACAAAGTTCATGTCTAAGAAGGTATCAGTCATATTCTCAAGAAAGCTCCAAGGCTCCATCTGTGCACTAACAAACAGGTACGCGCTCGACCTCGGCATGAGGGTATGAGATATGCAGATCGTTGATGAAGAACATGCGGTGGAATGGCTCAATAAATAACAGCATCTAAAGAAGTCATCAGCACTGGGAGCTATGCCATGAACATGCATCGTGAAGAACCTACCACGATCCACCCAGTAAGGAGAATCGCAAATCCGAGGTAGTCTGGCGCATGAGTTCTCTACAGGTACTCTGTCAGACGATCTCGCAGCCTTGCTTGTATGAGAAGAACCCGAGCGAGTACGCTACCTTCCAAAACCTGGTGAATGCGGATGCGACAGCATTTCCGCTTGAACCACTGTCCCGACGGGCTGGGGCCATCTTGAGCAGTCACCGTCGTCGAGTTGCACGAAAGGCTGCTTGAAACATCGACGACTTCTTGCTGCGACGGTGGGTGTTGATCGAGGGAGCGGTAGTGATGAGAGAGCTCAAACACACCCAACGTGAGCCGAGTCTATAAGAATCAAAAGGAGCGACGGCAGACAATGAAAGTTGAACAAGCGCCAACGACTAGCCGCAGTCACTTGATCAACATGCAGATCCTCCGGCCAATTGTCCCTGGGGCGAGCCTTCCACCTTGAATGTCTTCCGGTGTATGTGGCGTTTTGATTGGGGGATTCGAGCTCGTGAGCTGTGACGCTTTAGGTCCCGAGCTGGCTGCAGACGCGGGAACCTCTGGAAGCTGCCTTATCTTATCGGATGCCCGAAGATTCTCCGCCTCAATTCCGCTCCTCGCATCAACACCTCCGAAAATCAACAACTTTATCGTGATCGTGATCTGACGGTTAGCATCACAGACACTACGAGCGCACCATTTCTTAACCTTGCTCAGTATGCTCAAGTCAACGTACAAGCCGACCGCAAATACTGCGACACCTCTTCCTCTGCTTCCCGGATGGACAGAGCACACTGCGCCAAGCGGACATAAGTACTACCACAACAGCCAAACACAAGAATCGACATACACAAGACCCAGTGCCCCGGACGCTGCTGCTGCACCTTCAACGGCTTCGACGAGCTTCTTCCAATATCAGACCGTTCCCCAACTCTCCGATCCCAACGTCGCAAACGCATATCTTGCACAATACAATGCGCAAAACCAGCCTCTGCCTCAGCGAGGAGGTTTCGGTCACGGAGGCAGGGGAGGTAGGGATGTACGCCCACGTCCCGAGCCGGTGGACAAACCGAAATCTAAGGTGCCGATCCCCGGATGCGAACCCTGGTTACTAGTCGACACAAAGTACGGGCGCCGCTTTGTCTATAATCCCGAGAAAAATGCTAGCTACTGGCGCATTCCAGAAAAGCTTACGGCTGGTATCTTGGAGGTGGACAAGGCCAGAATCCGCGAGAAAGCTGGGATCAGAAGTGTCGCAGAGACAGACAAGGAGGGACCACCGACAGCCCAAGCTCGACCAACACTAGATGCTACGGAACCCACGACCTACGACAACAACGAGGACAGCTCAGAGTACGAGGAGGTTGAGGTTACGGATGACGAAGTAGAGGACCAAGATGGGGAGGACGGACCTGCTTCCAAGCGCCAGCGTACAGAAGATCCGGCCGATGACGCGCCTGTAGAATTCAGCGAAGCGGACATCGCATTTCAACTGCAAGCAATGGGCGATGCCTACGGACTAGACCCCGGAGAATATGACGACGGGAATATGGACGAGTGGCCTGAAGGTGCAGAGGGGGTCGAGTTCTCACAAGAAGACGCCGCCGCGTTGTTCCGAGATTTACTAGAAGACTTCAACATCAGTCCCTACAGCACGTGGGAGAAACTGATTGAGGATGGACATATCATTGAGGATCCGAGATACACAATTCTCAATACGATGAAGGCACGCAAGGAGACCTGGTCGGAGTGGACCAAGGACAAGATCAAGGAAATCAAGGAACGTCGGGCCAAAGAAGAGAAGAAGGATCCGCGGATACCGTACATGACGCTACTGCAGGAGAAAGCGTCACCCAAGCTCTTTTGGCAAGAGTTCAAGAGGAAACATCGGAAAGAACCATCCATGACGGACCCCTACATCAAAGACAAGGACCGTGAGAAGTGGTATCGCGAGCACATCAACCGTCTCAAAATGCCCCAAGCCACACTCAAGGCAGATCTCGCCACGCTTCTGAAGTCACTGCCACTTTCTGCACTGAACAACAAAACGAACATGTCGCACCTACCACCGCAGCTGCTCGTCGACATCAGATACATCTCTCTGCAGCCACAAGTGCGGGATCCTATGATCGCGACCTACATACAGACTCTGGGACCACCTCCAGAGGGTGACGCGGCCGAGCAAGAGGATGAAGCGACGCGCAAGGCTCGGGAAGCTAGAGATCGGAGAGAAAAGGCACTGCATGAGCACGAAGAAAAGGTCGCAGAGCAAAAGAGGAGACAGCAGCGAAGCCTCGAAATGGGCAAGGCCCGACTTCGAGAGGAAGAGCGTGAAATCGAACGAGCAATGCAGGTTGGCAAGCGAGGTTTACAGAGCCAGCTGGCCAGTGCCCAGAAGAACGAACAGCCTGATGCATAAAATCAACGTGGCTGGGTTGACTGATAATAGACAGACTTGGAATTCCAGCAAACCAGACGGCGTGCTTTTTAAAATCAACGTCAATCTTTCGTGTCTCTTGTGATAGGGTCGTCCTGCAATAGCCCGGTCTTGGCACTAACAACGCAGTCAGCCCGTTGATGTATCGCTCCGCCGACTGCTGCAGGAACCGGGTTTCATGCACGACCACAATGAGGTCTTTCTCACCATCCAAGCCTCTCATCATATCCAACTTGACTCGAGCCTCGCAGACGCGTCATGCAGACCTCCCAACGGATGCAGACCAACAGTCTTGGACGGAACCATCATCCATGGGTTGAGTTGAAACTCTTTACTCCTTCCTGCTCCTAATGCTTCACAATACAGTCAGCGCAATCATCGTAGGAACGTGCTGCCTGCGGTCTGCGGTCGAAACACCATGATCTAGTTGCTTGACCACCCAGCCACACTTCAGCGTCATTCCCTGCTCCGCCGTCCCTTTTTACCGCGAGCAGAAACATACTTTGAGACTCGTGGGTAATCAGTTCGGATTGATACCTCTTGCTGTTCCTGCCACGGCACTAATGACACCATCTGGTGTGTTCGTGCGCAGGATCGACTGAAAATCGGCGGCGCGCCCATTGGCTCGTCGGCCACGTCGGTCATCTCGGTCACAGCAGGCTGACCGTGCTCGCACATCCCCAAGCGCACTCCGTTGTCAGACGAAGTACCAGGCGATGGAGCATAATGCCATGTCAATTAGTGTCCTGAATGACAGCCGCCCTTGGACTTTTCCTTGAGGGCCCGGCCTCGTGTCTTTTAGTATAAGCCATTCCTCTGTTCGTTTCGCAGACTTTGGTGTTCCGAGTGTCTGCTTTTCGAACCAATACGTCAGCGCAATTACACACATCATGGGCGCAACAACACTCACAGTATTCGGCGTCATCGCCTTGGGTAAGTAGCGAATAGTTATTCGTCTAGACGAACATGACTGACGAGGGACTCAGCTTCGATGGTACTAGGGCAACAATTTCCCGGAAATTTCCCTGGCAATGGCAACGGCAACGGCAACGGAAATGGGTTTGGAAATGGCAACGGCGGCAACGGTTTCGGAGGAAACTTCAACAATTTTGTCGGCTTCAACATTCAGGAGGCGATGCACACAAGAAGAATCCACGGCATATTAGGAACAATCGCCTTCGTCATCGTGTTTCCCATCGGCTCGATCGCCATGAGGATCATTCCCGGACGCTTCAGCTGGCTTATCCACGGTCTCATCCAGATGGCCGGCTTCGTTCTCTACATCGCTGCTGCCGCACTGGGTATCAAGTTGACGCAGCAAGTCACATTTGGTGGAACAAGTTTGGTAAATTACAATCCGCTCTGCGTCAAATATCCCGAGGGTTTCCCGCTAATGCATTCCGTTAGTATGAGATCAGCACCATTAACTTCCACCCAATTATCGGCCTTGTCCTCCTGGCCATCTTCTTCTTTCAACCCATTTTCGGCTACATCCATCATGTTCAATTCAAGAGGTACGGCATCCGTCAAATCTGGTCACACATCCACCTGATCATTGGCCGCCTCCTCATTCCGCTCGGCATCATCAACGGCGGTCTTGGCCTATACATCTCTAACTCTCCCAAAGAGTTCAAGATCGCCTACGCCATTCTCGCTGCCGTATTTGGCATTACATGGATCTTCGTCTCGGTCATCAGCGAGAGCCGTCGCAGCCGCCAACCGGCCGTGGTGGTCGTCGAGGAACACAAGCTCAGGAAACGGTCCCATGGTCGCAACAGCGGAAGCCGGGGCTCGTCGGATTCGGACCCGAAGATTTGAATGGCTGAACTGACGGTTTATGAGTTATGAGAAACCTATTTAGGATAAACGTGCCACATCGGTCGCAGCAGGTTGACTCATGGTGGCGATCGGACGAGCTACCGAAGCGAACTTTTTTTGTAGTTGGCGAGAAAGCAAAGGACTGGCGTTTCGAATGTCTTTATCTTGACAGAGAGTATGCATATCACATGCCAGAAGTTGCCTTTGGAAATGGCCGACTATCTTGTGACTACAAGTCTTCAACTCCTAACGCTACCTTCAACCTTCTCGGCCTTACGCTGTTGCCTTGTGGGATCACATGGAATCTGAACAAGACCTTTCTGGTATCACAGATTATGTAAATGGTGGCATAGCCCTTGTCTATGGGAATGCTCCAAGGTAACAGACCACCAATCCACTTAGACCAATGTGGCTGAAGCTTTGGGTAATGTACAATGAAGATAGTCGTGTCAGAAACGACTGGGAAGCGTCGCTAGGCACGGTATGAGAATGAAATGCGCGGCTTTTGGATGTTTACAAGTTGCTGGTACCGTGACACGCGCCGTTGAATAGACGTCAATTGAAAAGTTCTGGTAAGTATGTTCCTTTCGAGGATGATCGTCGATTCCAACCGCCATGAGCATCTACAACAGATGGCTCGAGATCATTTCGCACATCAAGTCCTTGAAGTACTTTGCAATATACAGTTTCCTATCCAAGACACCGGGACATGGTGCAGCTTGGAGTACAGTGATGCACGCTATACCTTCCTTACAACTGCATGATGCCTCACTTGGTGATGATGGGGACTGTTGCAAGGAGAAGTTCTTGCCCAATTGTCATAATGCTACAACTAGGCGGATTTCATGAACATCTGGAAACACCCACACAAAAACATCTGAGATACTCAATATTTGAAAGCAAAACGAGGGTAGGTACAACGGAAGCCTAATTGAAGTTGGGAAAATCATCCTTCTACCAATTGAATAGAATGATCCCCTCAAGGACTTAGGACGTAAAACTTCACCCCGTAGAGCAACTGTCAAACAAAAAAAACAAGGCATGAGGCTCTTTAATCGACTTGTCGACATCTAATATCGGATTATCAGAGTGCCTGGAAGTTGATGTGTTTTGTCGCCTACAGCCATAATCGTGGATGGAATGGCAAACTTGAGTATTTCAACAAATCTGAACAATTTTGAGATTACCGAAGGCGTGAGGGGTATCTCCTGATTCAACTTTTGCATAACTTTCAGTCAACTTTGGAAAGCTGCACGAAGATTCAATGGTCTCGAATGACCATCGAAGACAAAACCGAGTGTCTGTTCGATCTCTTGGCAGTGCTTGGAGCACTCAGGTGGCCGGCATGCCGAATCTGGGAAGTCACAGTGGGAGGCCGAAGTCCTAGAACTTCGTTGCTCTCGCCTCATCGGGAACCCCTTGAACGTAAACTCAATAGATGGAAGCCTGGCCTCCAAGAACAAGAGCTTTCATCTTCGAATGCCCCCTCGAGGAAAACGAGAGCGAGTATTTCTCCAAAGAGTCATTGTCCAAAGTAGGGCATCACAGTAACTTTTTGAATGTGACGCTACAACGGCGAGGCAAAGTAAAAAGAACATGGATCAGGGGAGAGAGAAAGAGGAGAAGAGGTGCCCTAAATTGACGCAAACTGGTGTGCCAATACATAGTTAGTGCCTTTGGTCGAGTTGGGGTCCGGGCAGGAGCCCAGGTGCAGTTTTCTGTGAAAACATTGGGAGGCAACGGGATGTATTTGAGGCAAGAGGACTTTCAAGTCGATGCGCCGCTCAATCGTATATTTTCTTGTCATCATAGAACCGTATCGAGATACGCCAAGAATCATTCGAGGCAGGAATCACCAAAGATGTTGCAAGTACGGGCCAAACAAAGGGCACACGAAGAATCAGGACTTCTTTGTCTCTGCTAGAAAGTGCCTCGTGGACCTTGTTGCGGAGCTGCCCAAATAACCAATCCAGGAGAGACAAGAAGGGATGCACCACAGAGGCCAAGTTGAAATTAGACCAGCTTGTACGTAGAGCTACTACAACATCGCTCTATGGAAGACCACATTGAATTAAATCAATCTGACTTCATTATGATGAACGATTCTTCTATTTCGTCTTCTCTTGGCCAGAAAAGAGATTTCTCAAAGCTGAAGTGAAGGTAAAAGGGTAGAGGCAAATTGAAACAACAAAACCTTTCTCGAATGGCGGACAGAGGTGTAAAAAGGCAGCGCGCTGAAACTCGGGGAGGCCACGGGCTGAGTGCTCAGTTTCGATCCGGCAGAGTGTTTCTCACAACCCTAAGCACCTTCCAAGCGCAAATTACTGGCCATCTAGCTCAGAGAACCCATGCATTTCTGGGGCTTAATTTCGCTCAATGCCAAGCTAGTTTCTCTGGAATAGAAATATGTTGAGATTCCGATTATGGAAGGAGCCAGCCTTTGTTTCGACGTCAATCCGCTGATATTGTGGACAGCGTAGGCTGGGTGGACCAAGCCACGCAAAAGGGCACACGTAAGAGATGGCAAGAATGGGAGAAAAGCGCTTGCGACATGATGTGCAAAACCTGGGAAACATAATGTGAAGGGGTGGCCCGTCTTTCAACAGATAAGTAGATTTTAACTTGATGATATGCGTCATGGCTGTATGACCAAGGCACTATCTTGAGGTCTGTACGTGTTACGCCGCGCGAGCCGCAAAAAAATCACAATAAAAAAGAACTGGACCTACAGATCCAAAAATGGGAACACACGATGGGGGATACTTGGTTCTTGCTGAAGTAACCAAGAAAGATATTGCGTCAATGTACATGGAAAACCAACAGGAACGACTCTCGTGTCTGCCATCCTGCCAAAACAGGATTTTGTCTCCGTCTTGTCAGGGTATCGGAACAACCCCGACATCCCGGTGCATTACGTTCAGGAGGCCGAGGTTACACAGTTCCAACAGCCCCAACCAACAAGACCCGGCCTTCCGAACATGGGGCGCTCTCGCTTTTTTGGACAAGGGGAGGACTTCTCTCAGGGGTTGATGAATGTTATTCGAGGAGAGATCAATACTCTATACATACCGCGTGGATCGTTGACGGGGTGGACTTCATGACACGTGTGTTACTCAACCAACGCGACATAAAAGACGGATCATACGACTTGGCTCGAAAAGATAGTAATGATTCTCTGAGAAATGGAAAAGAAGAAGAATAAGAACCTTGAAGCAATCAGCATGGAGATTCATGTTGTTCAAAATGAGACTGCTCTTTGCGCCCTTTTGTCAGCCTGGATGAAAGAAGTTAAGAACTCGACTCTTTGACCACACTTTTACCTCGGTCCAGAAGAATGAACGCAGGGCGTTTGAGCGAGATTAGTCGAGATCCGGGGCCGGTACCCGTGGCTCCCTCTCATAGCTGAGCTGAAAGCATGCTTTCCGCAACGCGGCTGCGTATCGGGTCAGATATTGCAGAGAAAGACCCAAGGGAGGAGTCTGTCAAGCGACTAGTGTGTTCATACTGAGACCTCCGAAGCATTCTAGCTTTTTCCTACCTTAAGTCCATCGTGAAATCAAATGACCTGGGTACCTCACCCGGGAGGGACGAAAACGCGTTTCGCTTTTAGCCTGGAGGAGACAATGCCTCCCTTGGCACTTGGCTTAGATCGTGAGCTAGACGAAGCCACCAAGCCTAGGAAATATGAGTGAGACACCCCAGAGCAGCGCCAATCGACAAGCTAGGATCTGGGACAGAGAACAGGGCTGACCGTCTCTGTGCGACATCACACCAAGTTCCTCTAGACCCAGGCCGTCGGCACCGCAATGGATCTTGTGCTGCACATTAGCACTGTCAGCTCGTGTGTGGGTTGGGTCCGCTTGTCTAGACATGCCCGCATGCCGCTCAGCATGCATACAGATGATACCACCTGACTTCTTGTGCCCACGCATCGAATTGTGACCCTGGAAACTTTCCACATCTTGAGCCAGTCCACTGCCCACTAGAACCAACGAGCCCCTGTGTATGACGGCTAGGTGCGGATCATTCTTCCTTCTGAATGAATTTATTGATCGAAATATCCCCGCTACCCCTCCCATCCCCTATCTTCATCTCAATCAGTCGAACTTTGAGTTATTAAACCAAGAAACTCCCGCTCTGTCCCAGCACTACCCTGACCCATGAATGCCAAATTTTGAACTGATGTGATCCTCCACTTACCAAAGTATCCATCGTTGCCTTTTCCTGGGTTCCCCTCGCTCCCTGTCCCACTATCCCTAGAACGGTCTGGGCCTAGCCCGTTGAGAGTCTGAAGTGAAAACATCCTGTGAACCTAATGCCCTCTTTCGGAGCTGGGGTTCTGGTTCCAGTCCTCGCTAGGTGCCGCTGGGGGCCGAAAACACACCTGGCCGCCTCGTGCAAGAGCCAAGATCCTTGGTAGATCAAAGATGACAGGGTCAAGGAGATTGGTGGGATGATAAGTGCTGTATGAAGAATAGAGAGGGCTGGCCGTCAACCTCGGAAAACGGGCATCGACTGACGCGATGCGGGAGACCGGAACCCGGAGTTGACAAGCGTGGTGGACAAGGAGGGCCCCATTCCACTCCTAGAATCGCTCACATTCCCTCCACTCAAGACGAAGAAAAAATAAGATAACGTCAACGCCAACGGCATACACTGACCTGGCTTACTCTTCTTTTGTCAATGGCACCACCCACTTTCTACCATTCGTGTATTTACTTGCTGGTCAAGCTTATTGGCCCCTAATTTACGGCCGGAGCGGAAGTGAATGACTGCAGCTGCCACCTGTGCCTACCACCATGGCAGCAAATCATCGCTCAATCATACCAGAACAGACTAATGAGGCTCAGAATCTGCCAAACTAGCTTCACCGTGCCAGATCGGCACTTTTACCGGCCAGATTATCGATGAGAGCGCTCCATATAAGAAAGTCGAAGCGCAATGCCAGATGCCGGGGTTTCCAAAGCAAGTTGCTAGACCAATTCCTCGGAAGACAAGGACCAACACGCCGGGAAAATTTTGAAAAGGAAGGGGAAAAAATGAAAATCAACCGCCAATCGCAGAGCGCCGAAACTGAGGGGGTAGCCTCCAGATCATCCATCTCAGTGGCTAAACCTTTGCGAGATCACGACGGAAATGATGACGTCCACAGTGTCGACAAGACTGCGATGGACCGGCGAGTGAACAGAAAATTAGACATTGCTCTTCTCCCGCTGTTGTCTCTGTTGTACCTATTCAACGGTCTGGATAGGGGCAACGTGGGAAACGCTCAGACCCAAGGTCACGAATACTTTACGCTTGGCTAGCTGTGTGCCTAAGTTCATCGATGTCGTACAATACTAACAGCTGAAGCAGGATTTACAAACGACATTGGCGCCGCGCCGGACGATCTAAACCTCGCCGTGTCTCTGTTTTTCATTACTTTCGTTTTGTTTCAGCCTCCCTCTGCGGCTGTTGGCCGATGGCTTGGGGCTAAATACTGGATCCCGATTATGATGGTAAGGAGGTTTCGTCCAAGCGCCACGCCAACAATATAAATGAATCCATACTGACCCCCCACAAAGCTTGGATGGGGATTCGTGACCATCTGTCAGGCCTTCATCAGGGGCAGAGGTTCGTTCTCTTCAAAGAGTCTTGCACGTTCTCTGAGCTTAATCTGTTCTTCAGGTTCTTTGATCGCCACTCGCCTCCTGATAGGCGCCTTCGAAGCTGGCTTCTACCCGACTGCAGTCGCTTACCTCTCTTTCTTTTACTGCCGATACGATCTTGCTGTGAGAGTTGGCTTATTCTACGGACAATATGCTGTGGCTGGCGCATTTTCCGGGGCAATTGGTAAACCCGCGAACATCAGACATGCATTCGTACCCTTGGGAGAATGCTGACATGGGGACAGCATACGGTGTTTTCCACCTCAGAGATGGACCTCTGAAAAATTGGCAATACCTCTTCATCATTGAAGGGACGCTGACGATTCTTTTCGGTCTCATCGCCTGGGTCTTCCTTCCGGCAGGTCCCGGCTCGGCATGGTTTCTGACCCATGAAGAACGACGCTTTGCTGCAGATAGGATCAAAGCCGACAGCGTTTCATTTACCGAGCATGCCTATGACGCCCATGGAGTAGAGACAGATCGTCTGACCCAACGGGACTTCATTGAGACTGTGAGAGATTGGAAGTTTTGGTATGTTCTGGTATTCAACATTTGCGCCAGCGTCCCCGGGCAGGCTTTCTCCGTCTTTCTACCACTAGTTGTGCAAGGGTTGGGATATTCATCAATTCAAGCAAATTTGGTAAGAAGAGGAGTAAACCTAAGAGACAAGAGCGTACAGAAAGACTGACAGAGATTGTGCAGATGTCTGTTCCTCCATACGCGTGTGGTGCGCTTGGATTATACCTCTTTACCCTCAGCTCCGATTATCGGTAGGTCCCTAGAAGCCTCGATAGGGCCATGTTTAGATCTGATATCTTTCAAGCAAGGAACGAGGTTATCACATCTTGGGGGGCATCGTCATTGCCGTCGTAGGCCTGGTAGCTACCGTTACTGTCGAATCGAACGGCGGGAAGTACGCTGCGCTATGCGTTCTTCTTCTCGGTAGTTACGTTGCTGCTCCATTAACAGTCGCGTGGTTGAGCGGGAATACCCCAGGTAAGCAACGGAGATGGCTAGGCGACTAGATGCAAGCGGAGTATCAGGGAACATTGCTGACTTCTCTCACATAGAACCCGGAAAACGCTCCCTTATCCTCGGTCTCAACGGTTTCGGGAATCTGTCAGGCGTCATCGGTGCGCAGCTATACCGCGATCGCTACAAGCCAGGCTACAAGATCCCATTTTACGTAACCCTAGGGTTTGTTGCAGTCTCGTTACTTGGATACCTTTCGTATAGATTGACTCTCGCCGCGGTCAACCGAAGAAAGTTGGAAATCATGAGACAAAAGACTGCAGATGAGATCGAGAGAGAGCGGCTGGACAACACGCGTTACGCTGACAAGAAGTGGACGTTCATATATGGTCTTTGAGCATGATAGGTTACGGAACAACCACGTTGTACCTAAACATCAGAGAAGAACGCATCTGCTTCGCGGCGTATCCGCTCGGCGATGTCCGAGATATCAGTCGAGCTCTTCTCCCCGTCCTCGAGCATGTATCCGTCGATGAGACCTGATGGTACCCATTCAAAGTACACGTTCCTGACATTCGCTTTTACCATCTCCTCGCCAGACCCTGCCCCAAGCGAGCTATCGATGGCCTTCGAGGTATCCTGTTGTGCTAAGTAGCTGTGCTTCCATGAAGCAGCGACCTCATTGACATCGTTCTCTTCGAAACCAGGTGGATCATACGGCAGAATCTTCTCACTTTCAGCCAGAACGAATACCTTAGCTTGAGGTGAGCTGTGCTTAGCAGAGAGAATTGCTGGTAGTGAGCCTGTCTTGTTGCTCGTTGTCCCATATCCGTCAATGATATCCGCACCAATGAGGACCATGTCCACTTCCTTACTAGCGATTGCGGCGGCGGCGTCGGTATAGATTGAGACGTTGACTCTCTTCTCCCTTTGCCCTGACTCTTGGAGGTGGTTGACCAGGCTAGACGCCATTGAAACCCCCTCAAACAAGGGACGAGACTCGAGTACGCGGATATCAAATGATGAGTCTAGGCCTGCGATAGCCCTCTTAAGACACTCGAGGATGGTGGAACTAGACGATAACGTGAGAATCCGGATGGGCTGACCGGAGCCGTGATGTGTTCGTAAGGAAGCCTCAAAGGATTTCGAGATGCCATCGATAGAAGAGTCCCTCGATGTTGCAAAATCGCCTACCTTCTTTGTCACGGAGTCAAGGAAGGCCTGGGAGACGTTTGCATCCTTGGCCTGCTGTACCTCCTTCTCTATGACGGACAGCGATCGCACAATGTTGTTCAGAATTGCGGCTCCCATGCTCTCTCTGCCATTCTTCCAGAGATGCCAAGCGGCGAGTCGAGCATTGCGCCACCACTTTTCCACAGAGCCATCTTTCTCTGCGCTGGCCTTCTCCCCAATTACGGAAAGAAGAACCTGAAGCGCCTTGCCCGCCAGCTGCCGCGCTCCGCTTTGGTGATCCTTCTGCAACGCGAGCAGCCCCTCACTTAGAAGCTTTCCTCTCCTCTCGCCGAGTTCAATCTCGAACCAGATGCGTCTTAGACTCTCGGCAAGTCGCGGCACGCCACCAAATTCATCAACATCGCGGACCTCGTGGGGGTCGAACCACTGGAACCCCTTGTGCTCCCAATCGATCTGAATGCGGGACTCATCCTCGTGGGACTTGAGGCGGAAGGCGAAGGGATGGATAGTCCACTCGCGGCCAATCCTCTTGTCGGCGAAGACGTAATCCTTTCCCTGGCGGAGTAACGTTAAGGTCGCAGGCGTAAGCGTTGTCTCTTCCCGGATCTCTCTCCAGGCAGCATCCAGGGGTGAGGGGTCGTCCTGCTCTATGCTGCCCGATACCGGCGCGAGATGATTGCTTCAGAATTCTAGTCAGTCGCATAGATATACAAGCGTCATCGCAACCTGTATTTCTGAAGGTTGGGGCATGAGCTCACGGATAAGTTCGCACGCTGTCACTTCTCCGGAATAGAGCGACCTGCGGCCCCCGATTGGGCGGGAACTTGAAGATAAAGGATGAGACGACTGCGCGGCGAACCATGGTCTTTTTTGATGGTTCCATCAGATGAAGTCTGGCTTCTGAGAGAAAATCTGCTTCACAAGTGGCCTTCTGCGGCTGTTGCGGACCTCATGTGAAGCTTGTACTGGTAGGACGTGACCAAGAGAATGAGGTCATCACGAGGAGGAAAACATGGCAAGAATCGCAGCTGGTGACAGCCGGCAGCTCAGTTCCATACTTTTTCACGCGGGGTCCCAGCTGAGCGAGAATTGACCCTTGGTCTTCCGCATCGACAGTGAATGGTGTTATTTCTATGGCATAGGCATGTGTGAGGTGAAGAGACGCAAAGTGTAGTCAATGTTCACTAATTGGCTGCGTGTTATTTACGATGCTCAGGGCAAGATCATGGAGCCCCAGCCTACTCAAGCGACATCTCACTCACTTTATTAAGACCTCTACAAGGGCCATACGATACTCAAGTTCATAGACTTTGACTCGATACTTGGAATCAAGAATGGCTATCTATGGAATCATCTCATTCTTGTGACACCTTCTAAGTAGTCACATTCGTCAGTTAGATCGTGAAGTTTGGGCTTAGCGATGAGAGAAGGGCACAGCGGACAAGACAGGTGATGGTAGGCCGTATGAGGCCTCGGCGATTGCCGCCAGAAAGTACGGAAATGAGTCGAATGCATCTTCTGATCCTTGAGATGAACTCGAACTTGTCAGAAGGCGATCATCACGAGTTCCAGTCGCTGACGGGTGCAGACTCGTTGGCATTCACTTCCAGGTAAGCTCCGAAGGGTACACCCCCGATTGACAAACCCCTTCGTTTCTGAATTGATAGTGTCTGGAAAGATTGGCAATGCTTTGAGACCCAACGAAATGGGACCCTGAGAGGTGACCGATGAACCTTGAGACCTTTCGCTCAGTACATGAGATGGCCGATTTCACCAGCCTCGGAGAAAAGGATGCTTTAGAACTCATAGGAAACCCAATGGCCACCAAATCCCAGATTATCTAGATAGTGTTCTTGTAGTGAACTCGATGCAAAACCGTGAGAGAACAGCTGACGATAGAAGGAAGCCGCGAGGGGCCTCTTATCCGACCAGGCCGTGACCGCCACTTCTGGCGTTGCTCATGTGAGCATCAGTCCTGGCGCGACCAGCTGCATGTGATGTTCAGCCTTAAGAACCGCATGCCAAGTAGACAGCAGCCGGTGCCTAGGAAGGTATTTGCATCGGGTGCCGGCCTTGATGCATTGGCAGGGGGCCCCAAACGCTTATTACTGAGCAACGTGGCAGTGAGGTTCGTATCGGCTGAGGCTTGAACAATGCAGTCGCTGCCTCAATAAGCCTAAGATGCGTACTGAACAAAGACCAGAGCACACATAGATTGCATTTAGCGGTGCTGCTGGCAGTGCAAGGCTGGCGCAATCGCAAATAGCGGACATGGCTGTTCTAACGGGCAAGCCGGTTGTCGCGAATCTGATGAATCGGCCGATCCGCGACCATAGGGAACGCGCAATGAGTGAGGCAGCCGTCATAACAATTAGTGATGGCAGAATCTCATAAATTAGAACGAGTTCTCTGTACGTAATATGCGAGAGAAGTTCTTCATACTCATGTCTGTGACACCCCTTCTCTGGAGAGAGGTCGGCTTTTTGCCAAAGGGTTCGCGGACCGGAGCTCCCTCCGCACATGACCAACTTTTCCAAAGTTTATGTTTATCAAGGCGCTACTGGGACCCCGGGCAACGTGATTACATACTTATCTTATGAAGAATGTACTCCGTACGAGCATGGTGGTGTCGGACGAAGCCGAACCAGGATCATCAGCAATCACGGGAAAAAATTCCACGACCGGTGATACGAGGAGATGAGCTCTCACCACACTGGCCGGACATGAGCTGGGACTCACCAGCTCTAATGTGATAGAATAGCAACGTGAAGTGGCGTCTGACTTGCGCTTGCCTGAGGACAGAGACAATCATCTGGGGGCCACGCGCGACGAAAGCTTCGGCCCCCGTCAGTCGTGTTGGTATCTGTAGACGCTGCAGGGTAACCGGCGGGAAATGTGCCACAAGAGGAGATTGCAAACCAACAAACTATTCCGTTGGCCCTTCATCTGACCGTGGGGGCGCTTCACAGAATGAAAGATTTGCTATGCCGATTCGTTGAGGCATTCTCAACGACCTCCACGGCGGGTGGAAGTCGTCGTTGACCTATGGGTTGAGTGGGACAAGTCTAATGAAGTTTAAATCGCCATCACCAGACTCTCAGCGACGATTTGAATCATGTGGCTCAAAGACATGAGCCTAAGAGGCAAGGCAGTGGGATGAGTGGCTGGCGTAGGAAAGACCCCGGGTGCTTGGTGAAATATTGAGGCATGAAAGACGCAAACTTCTCCGGGCGAAGGCCATAAGAGGAACACAGGGATGGAGCGCCAAGACGAGCCGTTCCGCCGCAATGAGTGAATACCCCGGCGCGTGGACCAAATTAGGAGGGCAGTGAGCGCCTAGCTCGTAGGTAGTAAACCGTGAGGCTGCATGTCAATTTGTGCATATCTAGGTATTTCTTCCCTTTCACTGCGAGCCGTGTGAGACCTAATAAGTGAGACTGGCCGGTATGAAAAAGTTGCAGCGACAATCATCGCGGTGTGTCGGGGGCTTGGTGGGCATATTTCTCCACCGATCCGAAAGCAATCGGCCGAGGTCACGATTGTGCAGGTTAGACGTCTCTGACAGGTCAATTAAGTGGTCTATCCGTGCCTAAGCGAGGATTCCTGGCAAGTTTGTCTGGGTATGGTAGCCGCTGAGTATCTGCAGGTGCATGTTTTTGAGAGGCAGGGAGGGTATGGAACGTGGATACGACGGGTATGTAGATGAGATGTGAGTTGATTAAAATGAATATCTTGGATGTATAGTGAAAAACCTGGCACGCCTGGGATGAGAATCGAGATGAGCAACGGACGGGAGTTGATTTGGCCATCGGCGAAGATGTGCCCCAAGCTCATCCCGCCTCCCGCCTCCCGTCTCCCGCGTGGGCCGTGAAACGAGTCAATGGCGACGTAAGACGGGACGTTAGTGGCGCCCTCCTAAGCCGTTTTTGGGGCTTCCGATCCATGTTTACTGGCGGCTGGACTCGGGGTACCGTACTGGACAGTGAACGATTGGGATTATTGCAGCACAGAATCTACCGTTAAGCAGGCTTAGCAAGGCAAAGCAAGGCTTGGACATGAAGTGTCCTCCTCGCCCTCTTCTCTCGTCTTGGGGCAGGGTAAGCTAAGGCCCCGGGTACGTTAGGCACACAGCCCAGGCCGGTTGTCAGGGGTTCGAATCAATGATCAACGGTCCCCGAATCCTTGGGGGTCGAAACATGACCGGGGAGGAGGAGGAGCCCAGGAGGAGAAAAGAGGAGGGGAAGAGATGCTCCGTCAACGCGCGCGTGTACAGCATGGCAATCACTTGTGACTACCCAGATGTGTGATTTAAGCAGGGAGACTTGCAGGTTCGTCAAGCGCACCTCACAGCAGCGCTTGAGAGGGGTGGGGAGGGGAGGGGAGGAAGGGGTCGCTAGAGTGTGCCTTTCCTCGCAGTTTTTCTGCTTCAGCTCGATGATGGACCCGTGGATTGCGTGTGAGTGTGAGAACGAGTGAGCATGGGCATGGGAGTGAAAGTGAGGGTGAGTAAGTGTGCGAGTGAGTGAGTGAGTGAGTGATTGTGTGAGTGGGCGAGTGGACTGTGAAGTCTGTGAGTGTGCGGCGCCCAGGAAGGAAGGCAACTAATTATGGCGCCTTACCTTAATAATTCATTACCCGCCAGGTTGGTTTGGTCGGTGTTTGCTTGACCTTCCATGACCTGGTCGGGTAGGCACGCACCCGCTCAGCGCATCCCTGGGGCTTTGGGAAGCTCCAAGGTCTTTGGAAGGTCGCGCAGGGAACGATGCTGTTAAGGAAGTGGGCATCGTCACATGCAAATGACTAACGCGGAGCCACTTCCGATCCCCAAAATGCTACCACCCTCCCCTCCCCTCCACCTCCTCAGGCTCGTCCTCCCTTCCCGGACCACCACTGGACCCTTTTCCTCGTCTCGCGACCACAACGGCTGTTCAAAAATCTCCATTCTCCACGCCATGTCCATGTCAACATCCTTCCGGGACATCTTCCCAGCAAGTAAATCTAACGTTCCACACATCAATCCGGTTCAACTGCTTCTGGTCGCCAACGTCCGCCTGAAAAGAATCCCCAAGGACCAAAGAATGTCGACCTAGTGCCTTGACCTTCACCCGCAAACGCACTTCGGATACGGCCGCCCACTATCAAACCATCTAGCACGCACGCCATAGACCAACAAGTCTCACCCCCTTAAGCGTCACTCCCTTGATTCCCTTCGCCTCCAAGGCCCTGGCGCCCACTCTCCAATCCCACCGGAAGTCTCGAACTCGGATGGGACATATCTGCCGCTGCCTGGCTACCGATTTCCGGGGTACACTGAGCTACCAACCGGTCCAGATCCATCGCCGTGTCCGTCACCGTCACCATCACCATCACCGACGACAAGCCTACCTTTCATCCTTGACCGACGGCGACACCTCACCAAAACCTCACTAGCCTGCAATACCGCACTTCGCACATTTCGCCTCTCATATCCAACTCCGAACTTGAGGTCCGGCGGAGCGGTGACATGCGGCCTCACTCTCCCGCAGAACCAGGATGCAGCAGCAGCAGCCAGAACAAATCGAAAACTCCAGCCGTGCATCTCGTTTGCCTGTCAACCCGCGACGGCACAAGGTAGCGCCAGAGCAACGGAAGCGTGTTGCAACAGCGTAAGTCGCTTGTGGAATTACTAATATCTTCATCTTCTACTGTTCTTAGCCTTTGATTCGCTGTATACATTCGTCCTTCTTTCCTACCAACCACGTTCCCTCCGTTAAGCAGCATTTCTTACCCAGCACATGTTACTCTCATCGCTGTCTCATTTTTACCCTACAATCAACGTACTGAAATTCTTCCACAGGTGCAATAGCTGCAATGTCCGCCGCATCAAATGCTCCGGTGAGAGACCGTGCCGCCAATGCCGCAGCTCATCACGAGAATGCCAGTATCCCACCGTGATCGAGAAAGTCTCCGTGGCTCGGAACGATCTAGATGATCTGAGGAGGAAGCTTGAGATTGCAGAACGGGCTCTGCAGATTGCCGTACCCGACGACGTTGCGAGACGGCAACTGTTGCAACAGGATGTCGACGTGAAGGGGTCTCGTGCCGGCTCGGCTCCGTCCCTTACACCCCCAGAGCCCCATGATTCTTACGGGGAAGCCAGTAACGAGATTGTCGCTGAGACCGCCGATGGACGCACACTGCACGACCAGGATGGAAGAGCCCGTTTTCTTGGCGAGACCTCTGGCGCAACATTCCTTGACTACCTCAAGGAGTTCATGTCCACCGTCTTGCCACTTGCTTACAACCCGCAGTGGCTGTCACCGACGCCAACTAGCGGTTTGACATTTCTTTCTTCCCTTGGCAGTTATCAGACATACGACTCTCGTCCGATTGAGGTTGAGTCGAACGTGGACCCTCTTTCACTGCCTTCTCGGGACGAAATGGCTGGTATGCTTGCCGACCTCCGAAACTTCATCCAAGACGGCAACAGCGAATTCCCGTGCGGCGGCATCTACTGGTGGGGCGATCTCAGCCAACCACCGCCAGCGCCCACCGTGTCTGGCGACGTGAAGCCCGAGGCGTTCCCGTCCGGGACCTCTCAACAGGTCGTCTCCGACAACTATCGTCATCTTGCATTCTACCATACCGCCTTTGCCGTCGCCTGTCAAGCCAATACCACGGCGAGTTCGATGCTGGTCCCAAAAGATTTGAGCCAGATTTACTTCGCCCGCGCCCGCCTTCTCCTAGGTAACCCTCTCGATATCACCCGGTATACCATCAGCGACGTTGCTGTTCTAGCACTGATGGGCTTCTACCTTATCGAGATGAACCGCCGCGATGCAGCCTACGTCTACGTAAGCAATGCCATGCATATATCCATTATGCACGGCGCTCACCGTGGCTGGGTCGACGAGCGTGGGAAACGCGTTTTCTGGACTCTTTATATTCTCGATCGCTGGTTGAGCTGTCTTATGGGCCGTCCTCCCATTATCATGGACGATGCTATCCGGCTACCACTGCCTTGCGATGATCTGTAAGTTCCCTTTCCCTGTCCCAGTCCTCTGGCATCCTACTTGACGGAGATGTCCGATGATGGATTCCCGTTGAAGCAATAAGGCACTCGTCTAACGCAATGGTCAACCCCCGTGTAGTGAAAAGCCAGGGTCTTTACCCCCTGCAGCCGGCCTTCGAGCCCACGTCGAGCTGGCCCGCATTTCGGGCCACATTGTCTGCAACACGTATAGAGTCGCCCCCTGGGATCGTGGTCCCGGAGGTGCGGCGCGGCACATCGACCGAGCGCTGCAGTTGCTCGGGAGCTGGCAGTCATCACTGCCGCCCACCCTGCAAATGTCTACGTCTCATCCAAGTAGCGATCCCTCATGCTGTCTCCTGCATATGGCATACAACCAGGTAAGCTTGATTTGCCCCACCGCCTTCCTTTCCCTCCTTGCGTTGCGTCTCCGAATAAGGATGGGGTTATACGTTTCCCCCTCCTTCCACCTCATGACACCCCTCTCCCAGTCCGGGAATATAGAGGACAGTCGCAACCCCGTACTAACTCAAAGTCTTCCCGGGTCTGCAGCTTCTCATCCTTGTCGTCCGCCCCATCTTCTTCGCTGCTGTTAAAAAGACCTTTGCCGAGCGCTACATCACCTCAGACCGTCGTTGGGAATTCTCACACCACGCAGACCGCATAAGCTCCTGCTCAAAGGCGGCGCATGCAAACTTGTACCTCGCTCGTTGGCTGATGCGTCTCAACGGTGGCACTCGCAAGTTTTTGCAAGCAGGGTTGCACTACATATTCAACGCCGCCATTATTCTCATGCTGGAAGAGCTTCTCGTCTTCTCGCCAGCCACGGAGCCCGACGACATCAACGTCAACTTTGCCATCAGCGTCTTTGAAGAAGAGGCCAAGACAGAAAGCAACTACGCTCGGGACTGCGCTACCGTCCTGAAAGACCTCCAGTCTATAGTTCAGCGGTTGCGACTGGACAGCCAAGCTGTCTATACCGCCCGCGCTGGTGGTGTCAGTGGAGGTCCTTCTACCCCTGGCCTAACGTCGGACGACGTAACGAACGTTAGCAGCAGCATCAACACGCCATCCACATCATATTCTCAACAATCTCAGCATCAAACCTTCCCGCCCGGCCCAAGCCATGTATTATTATATCCCATGACGACGGAGGATGGCCCGATATATGAAGAACTTGTGGCTTGGGTTGAACACAACGACGCGCAATTGTACAGTAATAACTATTCCATATAAACCATCATATAAACAAGAGCCAGATATCACATAAATGTAAGAGCAGTTTCTCTCGATGGGGATCAGTGACGTCTCGAGAGGGGGAAAAAAAAAAGAGTTGAAGATTTATTGAAGCAGGAATAATGGAATTCGTTTGAAAAATCAAAAACAGATAAAACTCCGCGCCATGTCTTTTTTAGTTCTTCACAAGTTCCGAAGAGATGTTGAGAAAGAACCCTGCCCAAGGGCACATACACAAAGAGATGTCATCAGGTACACATGTCCCATGCCAATGACCAATCCAAAAGAGACTCATGAAATGTCTTTCCCATCCCTCTCTCTAATAAGAATAAAGTCGTTAAAAAATCACGTCTAGTTGGAAACGGTCTTGGCCCTCGGAGCAGAGGGGAAGATGGAGTCGACAACCTCGGCCGATCTCACGGCGAGAATTGACAACAGGGTATCACTCAGCTGTTGGGAGGAAGCTCGTCAGTCACAATGTCCCAGATGTAGTGGGGTGATGAGGGAAAAATGAGTTGGCGGGGTTCAACTTACTCCGTGGGTCGCTTCGCAGCATCCCTGCAAGAAAACACCAGCATCAGGCGCCACAGCGCCAGGGGCATATCGCACACGGTAGTCGCGTCCAACCTCAAGCTTCCTCGATCCCGAGGTCGCGTCAGGGCCGGCAATTTCCCATCCATCAACAAGCTCGCGCTCGCTGGCATTGCCGGCGGGGGTGATCTCAGGAAGCAGGTTCCAGCTGTCGCGGAGCATGTCGATGTGGGCGTTGCGCTGGTATCCAGTCGCCGCAACAATCAGATCGACGTCGAGGACCTCGTCACCGGGCAGCTGGTTGACGAAGCCATCCTCAAGGCTGTCGCCGGCGGCGTCCTCGAGGCGGCGGACGTGGATCTGCAGGCGGTCGGTCTCCTTGCTCTCGGTGACCTGAGTGATGTCACGGCCGAAGAGCATACGGTGGGGCCACTTGCGCTCGTCGTAGCCGAGGGTGCGCTTCTGGTGGTAAAGCATCTCGTACAGGGCCTCGATGAGCTGGAGTCTCACGACGCCGTAATTGGTCGCCTTGGCCTCCTTGATGAGAGAGCGGCGGTAGCTTTGAGACTTGGGGTACAGCTCGTCGACGTAAGAGGGGTTGAAAATGGAGTTGACAAACGGCGAGTCGTCAGCGGGCTTGAGGAACTCGGAGCGCATCACCATCCACGTCTTGGCGTTAGGGTACGCGCGCTGGACGTCGCGGAAGATCTCGGCAGCAGACTGGCCGGCACCGATGACGGCGACTCTGTAGGGTCTCGAGTTGTCCTTGAGAAGCTGCGGCACGAGCTGGGCGTACTGGGAGGAGTGGATGATCTTCGGGTGGTTGGCGGGCATGACCTTGGGGATGCGCGGCTGGCCGCCGTTGGCGATCAGGACGTTGCGGGTCTGGTAGGAGCTGACCTGGCCGGTCTTGATGTTGCGGGACTTGACGGTCCAGGTCTTGATGCTGCCAGCAGTCTGAGGGTCGGGGGAGACGGAGACAACCTCACGGCCGTACTCAACAACATCGTCAAAATGGCGAGCACACCAGCGCAGGTAGTCCTCGTACTCGGCGCGGGCGGGCAGGAAAGTGTCCAGGTTGGTGAACTCAACTAGGCGGTCGTTGCTGTGGAGGTAGTTGAGGAAGGTGAACTGAGAACGAGGGTTGCGCAGGGAGGCCATGTCCTTGATGAAGGAGATTTGCATGCGGGCGCCGGAAAGAAGCATGCCCGGGTGCCATGCGAAGGCCGGCTGCTTCTCGAGGAAGAGCACCTTGGCGGCAGCTGAGCCGGGACTGAGCTGGCGGCCGGCCTCCTGGAAGTCGTGCATGGAGACGGCAACAGACAAACTGGCGGGGCCGAAGCCAACGCAGATGAGGTCGTGGATATCGCTGTGGTCGGTGGGCTGGAGGTACTGGGACTTTTGGATGCGGGAGGCACCGTTCTGGTGGCCATTCACACCGTTGCCGTTCTGGTAGGCGGCTCCGTTGCCGTTGGCGTAGCCATTGCCGTTACCATTGTAGGAAGAAAAGCCGCTGCCGGCATCGGAGCCGTTGGTCGGCGAGTCGCAGTGAGGAGACATGGTGATAGGTAGTGGTGGTGGTGGTGGGGGTTTCAAATTACGTGGTTTGGTGTAAGTATGCGTGTGCTGGGTATATAGACAAGTCGCAAACAGCGGCTGGGGGTATTATTTGACGAGCGAATGGGTCGATCAATGTGCCAGTGACAATGCAACTGAGCGGGAAGAGCAGGGGCTTTAAAACCATCAGCTTCATGACCTTTGAAATCTCACTCTTTCGGAAGAGTGGGAGCACATCAACTGACCTTGAGGGCGTTACTTTTCGATTTTGAGACGGTTTGAATAAAAGCCCGGTGTAAAAGTGGGATGCGGGTGCGAAACTACGCGGGGTATTTTTGGGTGTGGTTAGAACTTTTTTTTTCGTCTAATCCTGGCGTTTTCCTTGTGATTGATCCAAAGTAGTCTCAAGCCACACTGTTCGTCATCGACTCTCAAAGAGTGGCGTATCTGGTTGAAGCCTTTGGGTATAATGAAGCTGGGCCACCGGTTGAATGGGCGGTTGAGAGAAGGCTTGAGGAGAGAAATGGGAGCTGGTGAAGAAGAATCAAGAGACGCATGGGAAGGAGAGGAGGGGCACCGAGGGGCTAATATGCAAAACGGGCAGACGTCGATGGATGCCCGCGTCCCATTGAGGCGGCGTGATCGACCGACAAGTTCGAAGCTGGACCGCTGGACCCTCGCCTCGGAGCTCACGAACGAGCAGATGGAGATTGGGACTGGGTAGGGGGTATCCGTACTCTGTACATTATCGTTTGGTTACACGCCCCAGAGGCTAGGGACTAGACGTATTTGGAGGAGCCTACTCAAATTGCAACATTCGGTTCTTCGCGCGAATGGGGCAACATCGATGCCGCGATCCTGTCATTCTGCCGGAGAAAGCCTATAGAGGACAGGACAGGACCCTGGCTGGCCCATCTCTCTTGGGAGAAGAGCTGCGCAGAATGCCGTGGGTAGTGACGGTACGGAGTAGTATAGGTGGCTGCCATAGGTATTGGCGTACCTCGTGGGCGCAAAGAGTGAAGCGCCAGCTCGGCTCAAAGCAAGAAGCCATCCACAACGGACGCCTTTCCACATCCAGGGGTTGGGGCCAGGGACAGAGTCGCAACGGGCTGACTCCAGAGATGGGCTCGCTAGTAAGGGATGCCCTGGGAGGGTCTGGGTCCTGGGTCTTGGTCTGGGTCTCGCAGACTGGAACCCATGCCAAGTTCATGTCCATGGTACTTTGTGTCCATACATAGGTGGTGTAAGTGGTCCTTTGGTGAATGGAGGAACTTCTTGAGTGGGCGAGTGGATGATGGATGGGTGCAATGAAGGGTTGTATGTATGTACACACAGACAAGAGTGGGAAATGCGCTTCGGTTGACGGAGAAGATTAAGGTAAGGTCGAGAGCAGCACTGCATTGTCGATTGCACGAGGACGGAAAAAGCAATGAAGAACAGGACCCCATAACCATTGAACCAATCCGTCTGAGATGGTGTCCAGCATCAGCGGCGGCGAGCGGCGGTCGCACGCCTTGGCGTCGCTGGCTCGTTTGCATGTGCCGGGCCACAGGAGTGGAGCGGACGGGAGGGATGGACCGGAGGCACAGAAGCTAGAATGAAAATACCGAAGCGATTGAAGGCCTGACGACGGGTTGAGCGTTAAAGCGAGCGCCTAGCGACGACGATGGACCATGGGCGACCCGACGAACGAACAGTTTTCCCAACGCGGGGATGACAACGACGTTGACTGGACCCTGGAAAGGCTCAGCTGATGCTTGTCTGAGGCAATCAAGGTATCGATCGATGCTTTTCTTCTGTCCGATTTCAACCGTAATTCCTGGTATCTGGGACTTTTTCGAGTCCTCGCCTCGCCGAGAGCTTGTCTGTTCGTCATATAGTATTTGTTATCTCTCTTGTTATGATATTGTCTCGAGTCTCTTTCGTGTACTGGAATGCTTCACGTCGGTGAAGTACTTGGGTTGCTCGGGCACTGGCCGTTGAGACTAGAAGCCGCCGGACAAGGGCGATGACATCGAGGCGTGGCTTGAAGAAACTTCACGGGCAAAGTAGCCATGCTCCGTGCAGTAGGCCAGGCCAAAGCCGTCGGTTTACGAGAAACTTGTCGGCGACGCTTTCCTAGATGTTGCAGATCGATGGTGCCAGTAAGACCCACTCCAAATTGGTCGCGATGCAGAAATCGGACGGGGGACCTAGATGCAGGAGAGACGAAGATGTGGGAAGCGAAGGGGACGAAGTACAAACAAAAAAAAATGCGTTAGTGAACAGGGAGGGAGGGGTGAGACGATGACAGGTCAAGAGGAGAGAAAAAATCGATGATGAACAGTTTGCACGACCAAGTGGAGTCGGGGGAGGGGTCATGATGCGATTTCGGGGTTATCTTCGGATCTGATAAGATCAAATCTCTCAGGTCCCTCCTTCCTTCCTTCGGTTCAAGGCCGTCCCAGGTAGGAGGGAGGGAGGCTAAGAACGGGCCTATGCCGCCTTCCTGACGTCGCGAACCTTCCATACGTACCTCCACGGTACCTGTGTCTTTTCTAGCTGCATGCCTCAGGTACGTATGCCTACGTATTCGTACACGCAAAACCTGGAACTTTTAGTTGTTTTATTTGAAAGCGTCTACTGAGTACGTATACCTTACCTTACCTTACCTGCCTGGTCTGTTCTATCCCTCCTTGCACTGAGGTAAGGTAGAATCATGGAAACTCATGTATCGGTGGAGGCTTCTCTTTTTTTGGGAATGGAACATGAAAGAAAGGACAATCAACTTTAGGTGCCCCGGAAGTCACCTTATGCGCGAAACTGTTACAGGTTGGAGGACCATCCTAGGCAAGAACGGCGTACCATTGTCAAAAGTTCTTCCCTACTCAAGGTATTCTTTGGCAAACCGGCTTCTTGTTCATTCAATTGATCTGTACCACAGGGCTGCGGCGCGTCTGTCGAACAAGTCTCGAAGCTCGAAAAGAAGGGAGCCAAGATGCAGGTTGTGTCGCAGATGGTCACCTAGAGACTTGACGGGTTGTGGAATGTGGAAAAACCGGGGCACATGCGATCCAATGCGCGCTGTGGAGGCGGCAGGATCACCAAGAAAACATGAGTCGGGCGATTGAGATGGTGCAAAGCTTTGCTCCGAGAGCGGGCAATGAGACCGGGGGGTTCACGAGAAGACCTCGGGATTGAGGTTCCAAGGTGTGCCATTGCTGGGCCCCGGGGGGTGTGTCGGCATCAACCCCGAGGACTGAAGATGCGTACTTGTACAGAGTACGAGGCTATTAGAATGCATCCATAAGCCCATTGCGTAGTATTGGGAGAGGACCTTGCCTTAGCGCAGAGGAGAGAGTGAATGAATGAATGAATACTTACACTCGCAGTAGTGTGAGCCCTGGCATTATGCAGAATGAGGTACTTTGCCTCCCTTCCAAGACGCACTTGGTGATGGATCTAATCTGACAAGATGTGGAAAGAATCCGTTGCAGTACGTACCTCTCTCTCGTGGAGCTATCCATGCCACACAGCATGCAGTGACTTACAGCCACTATCATGAACGTGAAGACTCTGTTCTTGAGGGAGACAGCCACCCACAGCATGGTGATACCTAGCTAGTTTGCTAGAGGACTATCAATTTGCCTCTTTCAGGATGTAGTGCACAACGTCAAGTACGGGTAAGCGAAGCGGGAAGGCAACATCCTGTTCCGGCGTATCACGAAGAATGCGGGCCGGAGACCGGAGTCGAGGCGGAGATTGGGCAGCTCTGGACAGCCAGATTTGCGGGCGACAACGTGGGCGATGGGAATATGGGGAAACACTGGAGGTTTCTCGCAAGAGCCCCCCGGATCCATTGGCGAGCGTTGAGGTGATTCATGGCTTTGCAGCGGCTGGGAAGTGTATTAGATTTGTGGCACGATATGCCAATGAGCCGCGCAGAGAATTGGAAACGGGGGGGAAAAAAGAAAAAAAAAATCGAGAGGAAGGGGAAGAAAAAGACGAATGGCTGAGAGCAGTCAACCGAGGATATGTCGCCTCGTCGGAGTTTGCGGCAGTGGGGTTTTTAGCCTGGGACGGGACCACCTCATTCAAGATTGGCACATTGGGTGGGTGTGCTAAGTGTAAGGTAAGGTAGGTGGTTGTGCGGTTTTGCTGGTTTTGCGGGAATTTTTGGCGCGGTTGGCATCATTTTGCCCGAGTTATCTGATGATCTGATTATCTAAATCTGATAAGATCCGGGTCTAATTAGGTAAGGCGTACGTACCTGCTGTATTGGGCCCAGTGACGATGCCACGATGGCCCCCGTCCGACCCTCGATGAACCTAAGCCCTGGTCCTGACGAGGCTTTTTCCCTGCCAGGACGGGACTTAAGAGCCACCCCATGGATGAGGAATCCGCAAAATCCATGGCGTATTTAGCGTCAAACCCACCACGCACCCACTGGCGATCATCCACAGCCTTTTCCTGCATCTGTGAGTGGTAAATTAAGCACGGGTATCCGTCGACTACCTGGTATGTATCCGTACACAGTAAACTACCTCTCCAAAGTAGGGTAGTGACAATGACAAGAAACGACGGACGCAGGGAGGGGGCAGCGGGCAGGCAGACAGACAGACAGTGACAGGCAGGCAGGGGAACGGCACCTGAAGAAAAATTCGACAAGCGGCATGGGCATGAGCACGAGGTGGGCGTTCCATGGCACGCTGGATGCACATGTACCTTAACTTGGGTACGTTACCTCACTTCTCCGAGGTCACCACGAATCTGAGCAGGCCTGCAGGTGCAGACTTGCGAGTCGTACCTTACCCGACTGCAGTTGGCTGCGAATGGGAAAGTGCCGTCGGGGCAAACGGGGACCCGACAACAAGCAACCCCGAGCAGGAGCAGCAGTAGCCAGCAGGAGCACTCGCCAAACCAGAGAAGATACCTACCGTGCTACGGAGTACCTTGGGTGGGAACTGGGAAAGCAGGAAGTCACTCTGGGATGTCCCTCCGAAATCGTCTGAACCGGGCAAGAAGTGTCAAGACAGGGAAGGTGGGAAAATCTCTTCACATGGATTCCCACCCGCCCGCCTGCCGAAACTCGCCCGCAGCATTCACCAGGCACCTTAGTCTATTCAGCAGTTCTGCATGATTGTGCCTTCTTGTTCTTATTCTTGTGTAAGGTAGGTAGGTAAGGTACGGAATACGCCAGGAGTACGGAGTATTCGTACGGATGGGTATCTTAGGTATTCCCCAGCCTGACCGGGCATCTCGCACGCACACTGCATAACCGACTTTGCACTTAGTCATTATGCCTCGCTTTCACTCTGCACCATAGCAGCTACTCCTCACTCAGACAGACTCTCGCCATCTTGAGTTATGCGGAATACCAAGGTTCCAACCTCAGTTCTTCAATACCACAAACACCGCTGACTGCCGACCAAGAACCACCGGGTATGGCTCAATCCCGCCGCCTCTCTCGCACCCGAGAATACCATCCAGTCCATACCTGAGTAGGAAGTCAACCTAGACTTCCTTTCGCCGTGTCCTACGGCATTCATCCACCTATCCACCCACACTTTCTCTTCCCTGGGCCCGTCCAATCCATCCACCACGACGCGCTGGCGACCTCCACCGACATCATCCAAGTGTCCGTCCCATCCCCTAGCCCGCCGAGTCGCCATGTTTCCGAAGGAGGGATACGACGGGTATTGGGGCATCGCCGCTGGGACCTGAACGCTGGATGCCCACCAAGCTGCAGACTGCAGAATCCAGACAGCCTCCTGTGACGTCTGACCGGCTCCTTCTGACTCTTTCGAACCTGAACCCCAACCGTTGCCTCCCAGGACATTCCCAAGATCAGTATGCTGGCCACCGCCAGTTTTTGACCGCATTCTCGAGACTGCCTCACCCTGTCCTCACCATCGATGGACGCGTACTCACTTCAGCGCTGGCCTCTTGAGACCTTCTTGCAGGCCCTGAGTAGGATATCTCCTTTCCCTCTAATCCGGTCTTCAAAGGCACTGGCCGTTCTTTTCCGATGCCGAATTACGTACTGCCTTCGACTCAGTCTACCCCCACATCTGGGCCACACTTCGCGTCTTTGGCTCTTGCAGCGATACATCGCCCCTCCGCGCAGACGGGCCAGGGACGTGACACGACCGCAAACCTGTGACAGACTGGCAGTGACCCCACGGCCAGATGGCGACTCTTTCTCCATTGGCCTCTCTTTCTGGCGCCTATGTTTGGCCAGGGTCTTTCTCCAAATCCATCTGTCGCATCCAAAGATCGAGACACAAACATACTGGGCCACTATTGCAGCTTGTTGCTCCGACTTGCCTGAGCGCGCATATGGAACGAACCTAATTAATAACGTATGCGTCCTGATCACAGTACATACCATCCCGCCGGCTCATGCCTACCTGTGGATACCACACCAGACGAAGCGATCCAGATAAAACCACTATGTGTGGGCAAAATCTGACCAGCCAGATGCCTTCTTCCCACCACCATCTTGTCGTCTCGGCCAGTCACCAGCGATATGGTGGTTGAGTGGTTCCCCAAAAGAGCCCCGCGCCATCGTCCTCCGTACCGCCCTCTTGACGAATTCCAGAGGCAAGTGCCCGGAGAGTTTGCCGCTTGTAGAAACCGTTGTCCGGCAGTCAGACGAGATCGGCCAGCAGCCGCGAACATGGCCGAGCATCGACGCGGATCATGGCGTGGCGTCTGGGGGAAAATGGCCTGTTCTGGATGCGCCGTCAGATCTCGCGCCATGCTTGTGCATCTCTGCAGAACCCCAGCACATGTTTAATCCGAGCCTGCCGTGCCTTCATCCGACGTTGGAAGTTCCGTCGTGGGTTATTGGTAGTGAAGCGTGATACATGAGCAGCTACAAGCCATGAGGCTTCGACGTTTCTGACCGGAGACGGCCGCCGGCCGGCCAAGCTCGAAACCCGTTTTTCCCGCCAGAACCAGTTCCTCGGAAGCGGCAACATGGCTCCCGCTTGATTCAAATGCGGACGGGGATGCATGTCGAACAACGGGTTCCGTAGTGCACAGTAGCTGTCAAGAGCTTTGCCTGACCACAAGATCGGATAAGGCTGCCGGCCATCGGCATGCCGTGCAGGCTCGCCACTGCAGCGGTAGTCGTGTCTGCAGACTTCCGGTCTTACGTTACACATCCGAGTAAACGCCGTCCAGGTTGAGGCAGCCAGAGAGCACTGAACGGGCCGTCGAAGCTTAAATCGTAGCAAAGAGCGGCGTTTCGCCCTCGGGCCTCGGGCAGCGCGGCGAGCTCTATTAAGCCATGACGCCATAAGCGCCGGAAATGCCCCCCGTCATCTGGGTCCTCCCTTTCAGTGATTTGGAGGGCCGATGCCTGGCCTCAAACCTGTCCATCCTGCCACAAACCTGTAAAGGAGCGTGGGATGAATATCTCACAAGTCATAACCATTCAAGCTTACGGATGGTGACCAGGAACTTGTGTGTAAGCCGCCCAAAGCGACCAACACACCTGACGCTGCCCCCCGTCAGCCACATCAGGATCCGCTCGGGGTGGGCGGGGGAGTCTCTTGGTCGTTTCCTTTGTGTGCTGCAAGCGCGGTAGCTTGTCTAGTCTGCGCTTGTGATAAAGCTCTTCAGCCAACGGACACACACGCACATAGGTACGCACACACACGCATATACGCCCATACAAAGAGACAAGCAGTGGTACATAGATTACCAACAATCCATATCTTTATTCTGCAGCGCTCCTCATCTCCGGTATCTCCTTGTCAGTCTACCGTCGCACCGGGAGTCGTCACACGCCCGACATACGCACAGGTCACAGATAGCCCTACGCACAGGGCCGAGCCGTCTTGAGCTAGGCAGCTCGCGCCAACACGCCGTCATCATCCACGAATGAACGATTCCATATTTCATCATCGACACACGAAGCTCTGGCGACCTTTCTGGATTGTGCTGCAGAATCGCTCGACGTTTCCCACAGGCTGAGTAATTGCTGCAATCTTACAGGCCAAGAGACCTGCAGCCGACCCCGTGTCAACCCCTCGCATTACCCCCATGGCATGTTGCCCAGCACCCAACTGAGGAACCACGCCGTTACATGACCGGATCTGTGAATCATCACTTGTCTTATTGGACGAAGACCTGTCCCAGCGCGTGGTCTCTTGGACCTCTAGCTGCAGGTCCATCTTGATCTGGGCTCGGGCGCATTGACCGTCGTGCCCTTCCCGTTGAAAAGAGGGCCCCGACTAATACCTGGATACCCTTTGTAATGCTATGGTTTACCAAGGGCTTTGTGCATCGAACCACTTCCCATAGCTTTGTAGAAGAGCTACTGAGAATTTCTCATCACTTTGGGAATAGCATCTTTTCTTGTTGAAAGACGACGAGGCCAACATGACCGACGCTGAGCTGGAGCCTCAGCTCTCTATCCTGAATCCTCATCCAACTCGGGCCCCGGGACCTCGCCTCCTTCACCAGCTTGTGCAGCTTACATCAGATGAATCGCTGCCAGCGATTCACTCACTCAATAGCCATGGAGAAGAGTCGACTCTCTCCTACGCTCAGTTCCATAATGCCGCGGATGCCCTAGCAGCTCGGATCTCTCGTTTGG